ATCCTTGATGGCCATAATAGCCATAAATCGACTGACTTTGACGAATACTGCAAGGAACAAAACATTATTGCTCTTTGTATGCCTCCCCATTCATCACACGAGCTTCAGCCTCTTGATGTTGGGTGCTTTAGCCCGTTAAAGTACTCGTACGGCAAGGAAATCGAGAAGATGATGCGGATACAGATTTCCCATAGTACAAAGGATGACTTCTTTCCTGCCTTTAAAGCAGCATTCTTTACTTCCATGGGCGAAAATAACGTACGAGCTGGTTTTAGGCAGGCAGGCCTTGTACCTTTTAACCCTGAAGTGGTTATTTCTCGCTTGGATTTCAAGCCAAAGACGCCAACACCATCAAACTCACGGTCAAGCAGCCAAGGCTCCTGGGACCCAAGGACACCAATTACAGCACTAGAGGGCGTACGAAGTGCTACCTCCCTTAAAAGGAAGATCCAAGCACATCAAGGTAGCTCACCAACAGCAATGTACGAAGTAATTGACTTCCAGGCCAGAGGTATTAGCAAGTTAGCCCATAGGCTTGCTATTATTGAGGCTGAGAACCGTAAGCTTCGTACGGGGATAGAGGTACTAAGTAAGCGCCGGAGGGCAAAAAAGACCCGGCTACGTCTTGGAGGGTCACTTAATAGTGCTGAAGCAGAGGCACTACAAGTAGAGAAGGGTGGTGTTAATGCTGGAGGAGAGAATAACCCTCAGAAGGAGGGTCGTACGGAAGGTGCTGAACCACGCGCGCGACGATGTGGTAATTGCGGGAAGCCTGGACATAACGCACGAACCTGTGAAGTGGTTTGGGATAGTAATGAGGAAGAGGGTGATATATAGTTTTAATTGATTTCGTACGTTGTGGCTAAGTTAACTTATACATAAGGTAGAAAGGTTTGAGAGAGTGCGTCGCTCGCTATGATGCGTCGCTCGCTATGCAGGTACGTTAGCTGTAATTAAAGCCTTTCGAGAATAGAAGCCATATCTATTAAGAACTAAATATAAAATCACGGTCTATATAGACTATAAGAATCTTACAAACTTCACAACGAACAAGAACCTGAATAAACGACAAGTTAGATAGAGCGAATTCCTCTCCGAATTCAACTTCCGAATCATCTATAGAAAAGGTTCAGAGAACAGCAGAGCCGACGCTCTCAGCAGAAGACCTGACCACGAAGTTAAGGTCCCCGAGGAAACACAGGTTATCCTCAAACACGACGACGATAGCAACCTTGTACCTACTACGAAGCTCCTTATGATAGCTAGGAAGGTCAATACCAGCCCGACTGGAAGAATGACCCCTGAGCTCATCATGGAAATTCATAGCGCTAAGGCACACGGTCACCAAGGCGTCACAAAGACATAGAAACGAATTCGACAACATTACGACAAGTCTGCCACGCGAGCGGAAGTCGCCAAAGCAATCAAGGATTACAACATTTGCAAGAAGAGCAAGAACAGCCCCCATAAGCCCTATAAAGAGCTACAACCGCTTCTAATACCACCCGAAGCATAGCACTCAATCTCATAGGACTTTATCATCAAACTACCAAAGTCCAGAGAGCCACTCACGAACATACTATACGATAGTATCTTAGTCATCGTCGATCGACTTACCAAGTTCGCTTACTTCGTACCATATAAAGAAGCAAGTAATATAGAGGAACTAGCATAGTTATACCTTCCTCAAGACTATTGTTACCAACCACGGTCTACCCAAGGAAATTATCTCTAATGAAGATAAGCTGTTCACCGCTAAGTTTTGGAGATCCCTGATCTCGCAACTCGGTGCAGACCATTAGCTGTTAACCTCTTTCTACCCGTAGACCGACGGACAGATAGAAAGGATTAATCAAATCCTCAAAATAACTATACCTTCGTTATTATATAAACTACGACCAGAATAACTGGGTATTGCTACTACTAATGGCCCAATTCGCATATAATAGCGTAGTTAGCGAGAGCACGAGAGAATCCCCGTTTTATCTTAACTATGGATTCTAGCTAATAGCGTATGGAGAAGCACGATAGGGACCATAGGCCGTGAAAGCCGTGGCCGACGTAACAAAACTCAGAGAGCTCCAGAAGAAGGCTTCTTAGGACCTCGAATTTATACGGTAGCGTATGAAGAAAAACGCCGATAGATTAAGGATTGGAGGACCAACCTTAGAAGAGGGGGATAGCGCCTATCTCCTTCGACGCAACATCAAAACGAAACGACTAAGCGATAAATTGGACTATAAGAAACTTGGACCTTTCGAGATCATTAAGAAAGTCTCACCAGTCAATTACGAATTAAGACTACCGGACACGATGCGATGCCACCCCGTCTTTCACATCTCATTGCTTGAACAAGCACCCAGAGTATCACACACAGAAGACTGCATCATCGTAGAATCCAACCAACCAGAATATGAAGTCGAACGAATCATCGACCACAGAGTCAGGAACGAGACACGAGAATTCCTGATTAAATGGAAAAACTACGGACACGAAGAAAATACATGGGAACCTATTACGAACCTCCAGAACTCCCGATAACTCCTTGACGATTATCGGAAGACGGGACCAAGGGACCCAGGTTCGCAAACTCATCGCCAATCCCAAAAGAAGACCAGTCCGTATCATTAGAAACACCAGCGGCCTGAAGATCGCTTACAATCCACCGCTCATGCGCGTCCAACGTAGGAAGAACGTTATCCTCTTCCTCCAGTTCCCGCATACCCCGAGCAAACGTCTCAACATGTCGCTCCTTCACCTTCCTCCGAATAGCCCGTATACGAGCAAGACGACCCGCCGCCTCGGTAACCTCAGACTGGATCTGAGCCAATTTCTCATAAAGACCAAGCAAGGCATCGCTAGCTTGCTCCTCCTTCTCCTCCCATTCTTGACGCTGATCACTCAGCCTCCGCACTACAAAAACACGTCAGCATTACCTAGAAGAGAAAACAAGAAGAACACTTACGACTCGATGCCACGACAAGACCATCACAAGGACGCTTCAGGTTTTTACAACCTTGACACGTATTGGCACCCTCAGCCATTTGACACACGCGCTTTACACGAAAGCATCGCGTACAAGGCATAACGTCGTTAGAACCAAAGCGATCAAATACGTCGTCATAAGCCGATCGGAGCGTTAAATCAGAATCTTTCGAGTAACGTTTTTGGACACGACCTGATATTGTGTCAGCACATTGCAACGAGCAAACTTAATGAACCCCAACCCGGGCCTACAAACACCTACTTATAGGTCTACGGGACTAGACCTTTGGAAGGGAGACCTGATGTTACGACCCAACATGCACGACCAAGTCCAGGGCCTGCCCCGCAGGACCACGGCGACTAGGGCACACCATAAGTGCACGAACTATGGGAACACATGCGTCACCCTACGGAACGGAAGAACTATGGATCAAGTCACGTGATGATAAGATAAGGAAAGCCGTATGCCAAGAATACGGAGTCCGTCCCTTTGAGGTACGGACCCCGTATATTCAGAATACGGAATCCGTACGGTAAACATACGGATAAAGGATATGTTCAGAATCAAGACTTGTATATAGGATGGACTCGAGCCGGACTCTAGGACAGACTTTCCATAGCTCTTCAGCAATTAACTTCGTATCAGGATTAACATCCGCTTTCAGCTACTACCTTGACAAGACTACGATTGATCACCGAAGCCTTACCTACCCTTACGATTGACAGACATAGCTTCCCTGAAGCTATCCCCGACTACGATTACTGTTACCAGTTCCGCAGCCTCAACTTCTGCAAACTACCCCTACGACTAGCTGGCCGTAACACATCCACATCCACATTTCCACTCTTCTCCTCCATCTTCAATAAATCTCGACCTCTCAGTTTAACTTTCCCCTCCCTTAACCAACGACCAATCTTCACAATAGCTTCTATCCTCTCCGCGAACGATATCGGCGCTATCTACGAAACCAACCGCCAACAGCTCGTCCTCACGGCACAGGCTAACGGTCTTATCATCGGCCCCAAGTTCGCACTTATCGAGGGCTTTGTTGGTGGCCTAAAGTTCGCCCTGCAAGGTTTCTTTGGCGGCCCGGGCCCCATTAGACCCGAGGATATCACGCCCGTAACTACCGACTACCCCATCAATCTCCCTCTCCCTCACTTCAACAACAAGACCGTCGCAGTTGAAACCGCCGACGGCCTTAAGACCGTCGAAATAAAGTACACTGGGCTCGAGGGAACTGCCCCGGCCGACTTGACCAAGGACCTCAAGGTCCAGAACACCAGCATCGGCAGTGTCCTGCCCCCCATCAACCTCCCGCTCCTCACCGAGGGCGAGACCTCATTCACCGCCGTTATCCCCAAGCCCGAGGGCGACTACCAGATTTCCGTTATGCCCTCTTTCAATGAGCAGCTTCTGAGATTCGTCAATGCCACCGTTCGCAACGGCGTTGTCACCTACACTTTCCGCTGGGCCCAGATTCCCACCGGGGATCAGAACCCCCAGCCCATCAACCTCACTACTACCTACTACAACGGCATCACTGGTCCTACCGCCCACACCACCAACATCGTTCAGGGCTACCTTGTTCACCTTGTTGTGCTCCAGAAGTAGAGGATTACCAGGTTCGTCTTTGCGTACCTCTAGTCAGCGACCAGGATCATCCGAGGATTCAATCTTTCGGTATGTCTGCTGGAAGTTGGTGAGGCTTTTCAAAAGCGGATATTCAAAGGGGACGATTTCAGTGCTATTGCCTTCCAGAAGGCTCTCTTTATTCTAGCTAGCTCCGTATTCAACAACGAAAATTCCATTTTGTTTCTAAGTCCTACTTCACAACGCTGATCATCACTCCAAACATGAGATTGTCTGCTTCGTGCTACCAGCCAGCTGAGCCCCTGAAAGCCTCCTGGGAGACACTTTCGATGCCTGTGATAGTTAGCAGACCATTCTAAGTGTTCAGACTCTAATCCGACAAAAGCCCCCAAGCACCCGTCTTTGCCGGCTGGCAAACAATCTACTTGGGGGTAGAGAACATGTCTCCATTCAAGTACTTCAAACCTGAGTCACACGCGATGGTAAAAACCCTCTTCCCAGCCCCCATCTCCCCCGCCAACCGAATCGCAGCAACTACATTCAATCCTGTAGACACACCGGCAAAAAATGCCTTCGTCTCTAGCTAGACGCCGACACATGGCACGCGCTTCGTCCTACGAGACAGCCCGCGCCTCATCATACAGCTTCGTATCCAAAAGCGGCGGGACGAAGCCGATGCCGATACACTCGACACCATGAGACCCAGCTTGACCTCCTGTGATGACAGGCGTCGACGCGGGCTCCAGTACGACCACGCGCGTCTCAGGTCTGGTGGCCTTCAAGACTGCTGAGACACCCATCGCTAACCCAGCGGTACCAACGGCAGCGCAAAAGACGTCAACACCCTCTGGAACTAGCTCCACGATCTCATGACCCAAGGCCGCGTACCCAACCAACGCATCCCGGTTATTGAACTGATCCGTAGAATACACATTCCCCTCCCCCGCAACCTCCTTCGCACGGCGAATCATGGAAGGAATCAAATTCGCAGTAATCCGTCCCGTCGGGTTCTCAACAATATCAACCTTGGCCCCAAACGCCGCCATAGTCTTGAGCTTCTCGACCGCGAAAGCGTTGGAGCTAGCCGGTTGAAACTTGAAGCCCTTGACCGCGCAGACGAACGCGAGCGAGGACCCCGTGCTCCCGCCGGTGGCCTCGACGACTTCCATTCCCGGCTTGAGGGTGCCCACTCCTACTCCGTATATCTGGGGCAGAAGTGTGGACCAAGTCTCTAGTTCAAAAATGACACTTAATGCCAGAGCTTGTGCAAGTCAATGGATAACTCTATGATCGAGTTAAATACGGATACCTTGACGGAGTGGGTTGCTGAGGAGATTTCGCAACTCCCTGGACCGTCCAAGGCCTAAGCGATGAAAATGTGACCCGGTCACCACGGGACGTTGGTCGAGGCGGCGATTACGTGATCCGTTTGGGATCCGTGCGTCCAACGGTTTCGGCCCCACCGCTGCACTGTGCTTCTGGGACCCATCACAGCTGCGCGTCTCCAGGGTGAGCTTGCTGCATCGACTGGCACGCATCACAAGCCAGACGACCTTCATCTACAGGCCAAATCGTTCGTTGAACTTGTTCAAATTTGACTCTCTAGTCGTAGATAATCAATTTCCCTTTCAACCGTGCGTGGCTGTCCTCACAATGCCTGCCGTCACCCGCAGTCTGCGGTCATCGACGCGCCTGAACACAGCCCCAGCAGCGGATGAGAAGAAGCCATCGCCAGCAAAATCCAAGCCCAGCACCAAGACAGAAAAGAAGACCAAGAAGCCAATTTCGCAATCCCCATCTCCGCCAAAGGCCGCTGCAAGTCTCAAGAGAAAAGCACCGGCGGCAGCCGAGGAAACAGCTGAGAAGGAAGAAGAGACCAAAGCCAAGGCTGTCGAGGACGAGGACGAGCCCAAGCCGAAGCCCGCCAAGAAGGCCAAGGTAAGCCAACTGAAATTACCACCGACTATCACAATGCAATGTTCCGTTTAAGTTTTTTGTCCCATTTACTTATGCATGAACTAGAAGCCAGCGGCAGGGAAGAAGGAAGCGCCGCCGAAAAAGACAAAGGACGAACTCAAGGCCCTTCGCGATGCGCCCGTCCCGGACGTCAACTCCGAGGCGGAGCCACGGGATCCGCCGGGCCCGCGGTACTGGCTCATGAAGTCTGAGCCGGATGTTCGCATCGAGGACGGGTATGAGATCAAGTTCTCCATTGATGACTTGGCTGCCAAGAAGACGCCCGAGGGCTGGGAGGGTATGTTATGCACCACGCCTCGTCGCCCGGGGCTTTTGTGTAAGTGTGAAGCAGTGATTGACGAAAAGCGCAGGTATTCGGAATTACGTCGCGCGGAATAACCTGCGAGGTATGAGAAAGGGCGACAAGGCCTTCTTCTACCACTCGAACTGTAAAGAGCCTGGTGTTGTTGGTATTATGAGTATAGCCAAGGAACATTCGCCCGACTGTGCGTTTCTCACCCTTTCCGCTCTTCAAGGTAGTCTGACTAACATGGCTGTTAGGGAACGCCTGCATCAATGACAACCCGTACTACGACGACAGCGCCCCGCACGATGGGAGCAAATGGAGCCTCGTCCACGTCAAGATCGAGCACAAGTTCCCGCGCATCGTGCCGCTGAGCCTGCTCAAGGAGTCGCGGGGCAACGGCCCGCTGCAGAACATGGAGCTGCTGAAGCAATCCCGTCTCAGCGTAAACAAGGTTACGCGGGGGGAGTGGGATGAAGTCATCCGCATGGCCAAGGAGCTCGACGAGGACAAGGAGTGGGATAAAACTGTTGAGGAGTCGAAGAAGTTTCCTAACTATTCGGCAGCATGAAGGGAGCGGGAGAAAGGTTATGTTGTGTGACCTTGTTCAATTAGGCTGACTGACTCTGCAAGTGGTATCAAGGACTTGGGATACTGGATACATCCCGGCGGGGGCCGCTTCTAATTCCCAACGTGTTGCGCCGAAAACACTTTTATGACATCCATACTTCTCTCTTCCACCTTTTTTGTACCAACACCCATCTATAGCCACAACCACATAACCCACAGCAAATGACAGGCTATGACTGCAACTGATCCCTCGTATGCTCCAAAACCGTCTTGATACCCTCGTCGAGACCCTTGAAGAGGAGCACCAGCTCGATCCACACCAGGGACTTGCTCTCCAGCACAGCCTTGTCGGACGTCTCGTCCAGACCCTTTCCCAGACGCGACAGGACCTCGCGGAGGCCAAGCGGGAACTCGGGCGTGTCAGGGCTGACGCCAATGAGCGGCAGGCGGATGTAGCAGTTCCACGTCGCCGGGTGCGCTGCGTCCTGCTCCCTCATAGCGTCGACGACGTGCTGGACAATCTTGGACGCGGACGAGACCTTGGTGAAGGAAGCAAACATGTCAAAGAAGCGTTCGGCAACCTCGGGGTTGAAGAAGGGCTGTTTTCTCGAAATGTCGAAAATGGCCATCGGTATAGCGCCGTCCAGGGCCGGGTTGTGCTTGAGCGCCTTGCTCTCCTCGTCGTCAATGGCCTTCTTCTCCTTGCCGGGCACGGGGAGGCTCAGAACATCCTCGTCCTCGTCTTCCTCCTCGTCGTCATCAATGAGCTTGATCTCGTCGTCGTCGTCCATCTTCTCGCCTGCCAGCGGGTTCTCCTGCTCCGCCTTCTTCTTGCTGCCGCCCTTCTTGGCCTGCATCTTGGCCAGCCACTCCATCTCGCACCGCGCGTACTCGATCCACAGCGTGCCCTCGGTCGTGCAGAAGCGGCACCCGCGCATGAAGTAGCCTCTAGCACCGCCAATGTCCCCGTTGGACGCCGAGCGCTGGCCGGCAAAGATCCACAGGTCGGCGTCAGTGGGCATCATGCGGAGGGCACTGGCCATGGTCCGGCGCCAGCGCTTCGTGGCCTTGACGTCGGCGGTGTATTTGAGGTACTCGAGCCAGAGGTCCTTTCTGCCCGGGTGTCTGCTGACGGCACGGTCATAGATGGCGAGGACGCGCGACTGGGTGGTGTGCTGGGACGTGACGTGGCCAATCTTCATCCGCTTGCAGCGTTTCTGGCGGAGGGACTCGAGGGACTGCTCCCATTTTGCGTAGGCGGTGAAGTCGTCGGGATTGGAGCGGGGGGAGAGGATGCGGTGCTCGTAGTCGCTGCGCTTCTGCACAACTGTACGGATCTCATCCTGGACAAGATTGTTAGTATTGTCGTAATTATATGTGGTCGAGGAGGGGTTCTGGGGTTGATGGTGGCGTACCTTGGTAAAGATCTCCTTCTCCTCCCATTCCCGCAATTGGGGAACAGAACGCTCCAAGTAGAAGCGGGCTTTTTCGGCGACCGACATGAATGCAGCTGTGTGGTATCGAGCACGGGATTCGAGTTGAGTCGAGTCGCCTGGCTGAGATGTGCTGTGCGAATACTCTGCCTGACGATGCAGATCGAGAGAGGGAAAAAACGGTCCAAAAAAAAGTTGACGAGGCTGAGAAAGACGACCAAACTTTTAAGCGGGGCATCTACCCAGGTGTGGCTCCCCTGATCCAGAGTGGGCTCTGAGTGGCCCGTGAAGACGTGGCTGAGGAAAAGAGTCCGAAGAGACGGACGTCACGGACTTCAGCCTTGTGCCAAGCTCCCCCTGTCACGCTCGATCCCAATTGGGACTAACCCCCGACAGCTTTAACCCCGAACTGGACCCGAATAGCTTGCCCTTGCGTGCATCAGCAACCCAGCACCCAGCTGCCCCAGTGGAGATAATCAGACCAGGCACCTTGTTGTACCGTATTTCCAGGCCTCAGCGTCAGCATCGCTGCATCAGTGCACCAACGGCAAGTTCAAAGCTCCGTCACCTCCCGGCCGTGTCCCACGGGTGCCGCTTCTGTCATCTTCCCTGTCGGCGCCAGACACCTTGACTGTCGTGACTGTTTACGTCCACAACCTTAGCTCAAAAGACTCCGTATGGTCACGGAAACCTTGCAACTTCTTCTCCAAAGACTCCACGGTCAGGGGCCGCACTGTTGCAAAAGAACCGGACACACCCACGACACCCAACCACGCGATTCCCTTCGATCCAATCGATCCCCATCCGCGGGCCGCCGAGGCATGCTGGTTAATTAGTTGTGCAACTGCCTAGCACAATTCTTTCTTATTTCCGCCCTTCTCTCGGCCCTCCCCCTCCATTCATCCTTCTAAGTCCTTTCCCCCCCCCTCGCCAGCTCGTGTCATTGCCTCCCCGGATCCCCCGGATGAGCTTCTTTTCTCTTTGTTTTTCTCGTTCGAGTTGAGAGAGTGAGAGAGAATTCATCCCCCCGAGAGAGAGGCTCAGAGCAAGTAGAGGTTCGCGATGGCGTCAAGGTACAAAGACAAGGACGGCGGCGTCGCGCTGGTCTTCAATGGCCAGTGGATCAGCTACCTGCATACTGCTACAGCTTACAGTAAGTCTTTGCGCCCGGGGCTGTTGCCGCCGCTGGTCGCGATGCTGTCGCGGGGCACTTTTCGTGGTCGTACGACCATCCCGGAAGCTCCCAAAGCTGACTTTTCACGATAGCTGCCTTCATCAGCGCATTTATAGTAGGCGTCTCGCTGCATTACCACAAGATTGTCCAAAATGAGTGGTACGGATACCCCGACGAGTGGTTCCCCTCCGTTTCCGCGACAATTGGCGACCGATACCCCGAGCGGTCCTTCTTCATGTTCTTCATCGCAATCACCTCTGGCCCGCGATTCGCACTCGTCGGCCTGTGGTACCTCTTGACGAGGAGACCCGGACAGACACTGCCAAAGTTTACTCTGGCGATGGGCATCTTGCGCACGTGTATGTGCGGAGGCTTTACATACGTAACCTCGACCGACGCCCACGACTGGCACGACATCTTTATGATCTCCTACATTGTCGCATCCCTCCCGTGGACGATTGGATGCGTCATGCTGAGCCCGCCGAACCCCCAGGCCATCAAGTACCGCAAGCTGATTGCCAGCTCGTTCTTCGGTACCTTGGTGCCCTTGATCTACTTCTTCATCCAGCACAAGGTCCACCGCGTTGCGGGAGGTAAGCTGTTCGGCCTTGGAGGGTTGCGCAAGACTGTAGTAGCTAACCGCGCACAGCTTACACGATCTACGCCTTCTTCGAATGGGCCCTCATCCTCTTCGACGTTGCCTTTGACGCCGTGACGGCTCTCGACTTCAGCACTTTCGAAGTGGTAATCAAGGATGTCAAGGGAGCAAGCAAGGGGTACGTCCAATGGCTCCCGAAATAGTCTTGTACATACTGTACACCAGGCAAAAAATAGATCCAGTTGAAGAGCACAATCTAAGTCTTGCTATAGTGAGAATCGGTCATCCGTTCCGTCCGCCGTGCTTGAGAAGCAGTAAGTCTGTGGAATTTCGTGATCAGATGTGCAGCAGCTGACTTGCTTCAAGAAAGGAAAAGGCGAGCGCAAACATGTTGACTGGCCGCTTCACCTGGACCGAGGCCCTCGACACCGCCGCCGATGTCTACCACGGCTTCATCTTTTGGTCCATGTTGACCAGCTTGGGAGTCTTGGTGTGGTACTTCCCCCTTTGGCACATGGGCATCTCTGGCTACGAGGCCTTTGTCATGTCAACCATCTTGCCCGCAATCTTGGGCATTCGCAGCGTTCGCTCCCTCGTCGTCAACAACCAGCGTGCGATCCACCTCATCTCGCTGATCGGACTGCTGGCTTACCAGGTTCTTGACCCGGCCTACCGTCTCTTCACCGTTGGCTTCGCCGTGGCCACTTCTTGCCTCGGCTGGACTGCTGCGTTCTGGTCCGAGAGAGCCCACCAGAGCCGTCTCGAATCCCGAATCATGGCTTGGACCCTAGGTCTCGTCGCATCTTCCACGGCCAAATTCATCTGGTGGACCAACAACCCGCTGTGGCCTGTCATGCACGCCGCCAACGGAGGTTGGAACGCGACTGGCTTTGCCATTGCTGTGGTAGCTGCTCTGCGATTCACTCGGAGAGCGCCCCTGACTAGCGGCGATATTCCGGAAGACTCCAAGAAGGGTGGCTCTTCTGTCCTCGCTGCCTTTGGCGTTGGTGGTCTCTTCTTCGGCATCCACTCCCTGCTCTCTGATACCAGCACCATGATCCTTTGGGTCTGGGACGGTTACCCGATCCGTGGACCTACTTCCAACACCTACGGCTGGATGACTATTGTCGCAATGACTGCTGGTCTCCTGGTCGGCCTCTACCGCCCTTCCGTAATGAGCTCGTGGACCGCCTACGGCGTTGGCTGTGTTGGTGCGGCCGTCTTGACCTCATACCACCACTGGTTCGGCTACTACGGTGCTCTCACCACGGCCTTCTACCTGATGGGTCTGTCTGTGCCTTTCCTTTCCACCGCGGCCAAGAGAAGCCCTGGCACAACATTCGGTCTCGGGTTCTTCATCTACAACATCATGGTTCTGTTCCACGTCTGGGTCGTTGCCTATGCATTCGTGCCTGGTGGCCCCTTGGTTCGCGAGCACACTGACTGGGTCATGATGACCACATTTATCCTCATCGGCGCCGGTGTCTTCGACCTTACCTCCTCGCAGGCCCGCCGCCGCGATACCCGCCGCGCATCCCCGTCGCAGCACAAGAAGTACAACACGATCGCAGCCGCCTTTGTCAACATCGTCTTCCTCGCCGCAGCCTTCATGCGCTTCCCCACCAACGACTACAAGCCATACCACCCTGAAGATCGCATCATGACGGCCGGTATCTGGACCATTCACTTCTCCCTCGACAACGACATGTGGTCTTCCGAGTACCGCATGCGCGACCTCATCAAGGAGCTCGAACTGGACGTTGTGGGTCTCCTCGAGTCTGACCTGCAACGCATCATCATGGGCAACCGCGACACCACGCAGTTCCTCGCCGAGGACCTCGGAATGTACGTCGACTACGGCCCAGGCCCCAACAAGCACACCTGGGGCTCCGCGCTGCTCTCCAAATTCCCGATTATCAAGTCGACGCACCACCTGCTCCCCAGTCCCGTGGGCGAACTCGCACCCGCCATCGCCGCCACCCTCGACGTGTACGGCCAAGAGGTCGACGTCTTCGTGTTCCACTCCGGACAGGAGGAGGACCCCGAAGACCGCCGTCTGCAGACCGAGTACCTCTCCAAGCTCATGGGCGAATCAAAGAACCCCTCCGTCCTGCTGTCCTACCTCGTCACCAAGCCCCTGCAAGGTAACTACAACACCTACGTCAGCAGCACATCCGGTATGCACGACGTCGACCCGACCGACTGGGACCGCTGGTGCGAGTACATCCTATACAAGGGCCTCAAGCGCACTGGCTACGCGCGCGTCAGCCGCAGCACAATCACCGACACGGAGCTGCAGGTGGCCAAGTTTGTCATCCCCAAGTCCAAAGACGAGGTGCTGCAGGTCGAGGCGGTGGACGAGAATACGCGAAATAAGCGTGTTACGGAGGAGGAGGTGCCGCAGGGCTGGAGATTCCCGGCCATGTTCCGGGGCCAGGGCGTGCGTGATCACCGGTACCACGTGTTCAACGAGCCGAGATATTACAATCATTGATTTATGGAAACGAAAACGAGTTTATGGGGTAGGAATTGGATGAAGGCCGGGGTGTAATGTCAATGTTTTCTTATGTTGGTGGCGGAGGTTGGGGCGTATATACTTAATACAATGAGAGTTTACCTGTTCAATGAGCCTCTGGGTGTTTGCATGTTTGGTGTAAGAGCGTGTGGGTTGCTGCCGAGACACTGTCCTACCTTTTATTGCTACCGTTGCTGCCATCCTATCTTGCCTTTCCTCCGTATCGATGTCATGGGCAAGGCCACCACTCTCTATGATCCCACCCATTATGTGTCTTGGTCATGATTGTTCACAGCTTCTTACTTTCCGATCCCGTTGCTTTCAACCTTTCTAAGGCTTCTACCCTAACCTTTCTACCTTTCAGGCATCGTCGTTCACGTATTCGTTCGAATCACTCCGATACGGACGAGAAGTAAAGAAAATTAGTGGTTCTTTCTTTATGCATGCATGCACCCCCTTGATACTTAAAATACTACTATACCATAACTCACTATCACCAGACACCTCTTGATCTAGGAACGGCCCGAGTACAGACACCTAACCAAGTAACGTAGACGACTCACTAGACAAACGTTCTAGATTTTAGTTGGTCTCATACCAGGTACCTTGGATAGTTCATACATAGTCACGTGCTTACCTTGGCTGTTAGGTCTTTTGAGTTTCATCGCCCCCTCTATGAAGACGCGACGGGCTCGAGCAGCTTGCGGCAGACTCTGGAAGGAGTAGGATCAGGCTCGTCGTTTCCGGTCATGTCCACATACTGTCGCTTCTTGGCCGTGGAAAGGCGGGCTTTCTCCATGAGCTGAATCGCAATGTCTGCGCCGGAAATAGCGGTATCGGGGAAGGCTACTTCGAGGGCTGCGTTTAGCATTTCGAACTTTGAGTTCTACCTTCTCTTCGTATATTACAAGTAGAATATATTTGAAAAGGCGGGAAGGGAAAGGAAACGCCGTAGCCGTGATAGAAACTGTTTAAACGGAAAGTCGTGATGTGCTAGTTTGGAAACCGTCACTCTTTGACATCCAGGAAAGCTGGATTTACGTATTCGCCGCTTGTAGAGAGAGCGAATGCATTGTTGCGATGACTCCAGAGCGTGTGGCTATGAAAATGTAAGTTACCTATATTCAAAGAATTGCTATCTAGGTGAGTTGAGCGCCCTGGGCTTGTCGTGTGTGCACGTACTGAGGTGGCTAATAGTGGCGTAGCTTTATAGCTGCTACAGGACTACCTACCTAGCTAGCAATAACATTCTAAACCCTCGTTCATCTCCCTAAAAGAACCCACAACAACTACACACGATCCCAAGCCCTCGAGATCCTCAAGCCGTCGCCAAACGAGTTCACAAACCGCGGACCTGGAGCGGAATTCCTCCCCGCCATCCAGGCACGCCAGGTTTCTCTTCCCCCGTCTTCTCCGCAGGACCCGCAACGGTGCACGGTGTAAAGCGGGGGAAGAAGGGAACTCCACCGCCGAAAGCCGATCCCGTTGGCCAATTACGGATATTCGTCCAGTAATATCTCCAATTTCTCCAAATCCTCGGGAAAGAAGAAGAGTATCGGGAAAGGGTATTCGGGAAAGATGTAAGACAAGCTTTCGAATATCGGGAAAGACGCGGACGGAAAAGAACTGGGTGCCAGAGCTCGGCAAAGAGACAAGAACAGCGAGGGCACTGCGAGCAAAGGGGGTTGACCCTTACTCACCGCGCATGGAGTTTGTAATCGCAATGTCTCTGGTTGGCTCACATGCACACTTGCGAAACCTTGCTGCCGGGGGGGCGGTCGACTCGAGGACGCCATCCACGCATCTTGCATTCGTCTGGCGTTTTGGCGGGCGTGGATTGGGGCGGGGGAAGCTTGCCGGGTGGGTATCAAAGATGCGAGATCTTGGGGTAGCACCGTAGCAGTATCGTCCATGGCTATCTACGGGCTGAACGAGCCGAGAAAAGAAGGGAACAAAAAGCCCGGGGTAAGGTAAGCAGGTATTGCGGCGTCACTAGAGGACAGAGATCCCCAAGTCCGCGTCCGTTCTCAACCTCTCTCTCCCCGCGAGTAGCCGCGACGTTCCAGTGTTCCCTTTCAAAGGTCACTCCCGAAACAGGAAGGTTGGGCGGGCGTAAGCGTGATAAGACGGATCTGCGCCTTTTTGCGGCTTTGCCCGCCGCCCTCTTTTTCTTACAGCATTCCTACTAAGACCTTGTTGCGCATGGGGACTGTGTCATTTGTTACAGCTGATATTTTGGCACATCCTGCTAGGTATCTAGGTATTGCACTTCCCCAAATTTGTGTCCAAAGGTGTTGTGTCCATGGTTTGCCCGCCCGGTCCTTGCGGCGTGGGGTAAAAGCGCACCGCCCGCGCCCGTCATTCCCGTCTTGGACCGTGGAAAGCCGATGGGCCATCGGGAAAGAGACAAGAAAGAAAGGGGAACGTGTAAGACAAATAAGAAGAGAGGTGTGCCCTCCTTTTCGCCGGGAGATACGGATAGAACGAAGGTGAGATTGCTGTGAAGAAGGTCTTACCACTTGAGAACTTCATATTGGAAAAAAGAAGAAAGGGTGAAAAGTGGTGATTGGGTATTACTTACACCGGACTATATCCTCGGCTTCGTGTGTCGAGACATACTGTTGTGTAACAATCACCCGAAACGAAGAGAGACGACACCTTTTAAATCACGACATTGTTGAAAACGAGGCAGAAGAAGTGAGAATGGAGACGAGTCATCTCTGGGCCTGGCTAGGCCTCGCCGCCGTGGGAGGCGTGCTCTACGTAAGTCCCAGTCTTCATCATTGCCGACAATGAGGGCTTGATGAAGCCGATCAGCGTTGGCTGGGAATGAGAGGAACCTGATCTGACAGCCAACGAAATAGGTCGCCGGAATCGTCGTGTACCGCATCTTCTTCCATCCCCTGGCAAAGTACCCAGGACCGCTCATCGCAAAGGTCATGGATGGATACCAGCTCTATCACGCCTGGAACGGCGATAGACATCTCGACTTTTACAAGCTTCACAGGCAATACGGTATGTTACCTACTCACCTTCGGCACTTGTGCCAATTCATCCCTCACTCTTTGTGAGACCGGCAAGGAGGCATTGCCAGAGAGGGGGGAAGACACTGAGAAAGAGAGAGAGAGAGAGAGAGAGAGAGAGAGAGAGAGAGAGAGAGAGCCACGGAAACAGCACCACTAACAAACCTCAAGGCAAAATCGTCCGCTTCGGCCCCAACTCAGTCTCCTTCAACTCCGCCACAGCCCTCAAAGAAATCTACGGCTTCCGCTCCAACGTCGGCAAAGCAGAATTCTACAACGCCTTCGTCCACCCGGCGCCCAACACCCACAACGCCCGCGACAAGGACGTCCACGCCCGCAAGCGCCGCGTTCTCGCCCATGGCTTCTCCGACTCGGCCATGAAGGAGATGGAACGCTACATCATCGGAAACGTGCGCTCCTTCACCGCCGAGATTGGCCGGGGCGCGTCCGCCGATACCAAGGGGTGGTCGACGCCCAAGAACATGACGGACTGGTGTAACTACCTCGCCATGGATATCTTGGGAGACTTGTCGTTTGGGAAAGCGTTTCATATGCTTGAGGCGCCGGATAACCGGTTTGCGTTGGATTTGATTGCTGCGGCGACAAAGAGGCATCTTCTTGTGAGTTGACAAAGTGCTGGGATGCGGCCCTTGAGAGGGTGGTTCGAGAGAAACGTGGACTGACGGACCCCCAGTGCGGCACCATGCCCATCGTCGACAAGCTCAAGCTCGACAAGCTCCTCTTCCCGACTATCGCTGCCGGACGCGCGCGGTACATGGCATACAGCAAGGCGCAGCTGACGGAGCGTACGAAGCTCGGTGAAGATACGGACCGACGCGACTTCTTCTACTACCTCCTCAAGGCGCGCGACCCGGAGACGGGATTGGGCTTCTCGACGCCCGAGCTCTGGGGCGAGTCGAACCTACTGTGAGTTCATGGTTTTCCTGTCCAGCTTCCATACACCACAGAGATCTAAGCCGAGACTAACACGTAAATCAGTATCATCGCCGGCGCCGACACCACGTCAACAGCCATGGCAGCAACCCTCTTCTACCTCTCCCGCAACCCCGCAGCCCTCCAGCGCGCGACCGCCGAGGTCCGCAGCAAGTTCTCCGAAGTCGAGGAGATCCGCCAAGGCGCAACAATCAACACATGCACCTACCTCCGCGCCTGCATCGACGAAGCGATGCGCCTGTCCCCCTCCGTCGGCGGCCTCCTCCCCCGCGAGGTCCTCACAGGCGGCATGACCATTGACGGCGCGCATATTCCCGCCGGAACCGTCGTCGGCACGCCGCACTACACGATCCATCACAACGAGGACTACTTCCCCTCAGCGTACGACTACGTCCCGGAGCGGTGGATCGTCGGCGCGGCGAACCCGTTGTTTGGGGGCAGAGAGACGACCGAAGCAGACACGGCGAGAGCGCAGAGCGCGTTTTGTCCGTTTTCGATTGGAGCCAGAGGGTGTATTGGCAAGGGTCTTGCGTATGCTGAAATGTCGACCGCGTTGGCGAGAACGCTTTTCTTATACGATATGCGCAAGGCTGTGGGCGTGGTTGATCCGGCTGAGGGACGCGCAGATTTGGACGAGGGCCGGAGGCGGGTCTCGGAGATGCAATTGTATGACACGTTTACGAGTATGAAGGACGGACCGTTGTTGGAATTTAGGGCGAGGGCATGAGAGTGATGCTGGAAAGGTTGTTGGTGATGTTTCTACCGAGCTGGGCTGGGCTGGGCTGAAGCTGGTGTTAGAGATCCCTGCTTCACCTTCTGTGCCGCGGATTCGGAGCCGTGTGAAGTTGTCGTCATCGAGCGTCGAGAGGACTTGTTAGCACGTGCCAATTGATACATATGCTTCATGAGAGCCAATAATGGCAGAGAAACCAACTCCTCGTTCCAAGGTACAGTGGTGGAGCCAAATGCTGGTGAAAGCTCCTCGCGAGGACTCGTCCGTCCGAACTTGCGCGCCATTCAGATCGTTCGAAAGCTTTCCCCGCTTGTATGTTTCTCCAACTGCCACATTTAGTCTTTGTGGTTCGGCTCTTGATCGGCGGCGGGCATTTCCCTGTCAGGCACGTCGTCTCCGCTATTGTCCGTTTTCTTTCGTATCTTTCAAAACGTTCTTTCGTTCGGCTCGCGGGGATCACGGAGCCGGCTCGTTGTGAAAGCTTTCTTCTCCACCCCCATGCAACGTCAACCACCCAGACTAGTATCTTGTGATCGCGCAGAACCGGCCAATTTGGGGATGCTTGGGCCGTTGAACAGTTCGATGAAGAGGAGGGGATCGGAGTGTGGGGAACACCAACACTAAAGGAATCAGAGCTGGGGAGCCGGGATCCGTCGGTTTCCCCATCGGCATATTCGACAAGCGATGCGGGGGCGAGACGCAAGAATCTCTCCATAGACTCCAGCTTGTCTCGAGACTTTGCGGGAGCCGATCTCACGCCGTACGGCACGACCTTGCTGTTCCTGGCGACAATCATCGCCTGACTCCCTAGCATCCACTCAATGGTCAATCTTGGACCCTTGGCTTCCATCCCCAAGAGGACGCGGGTCCCGGCTGTGCTCGTCTTCTCGGGCGAAAGCCGCCTCCGAGGTGTGTCGCTACCCTGGCAACTTGGGATCATGACCTGAGGGAGGACCCGGAGATGCCCCGCTGCGGGCTGGGGGACATGGTCGACGACTAGTCATGAAAATGGCGGCCGTTGATTCAAGGAACGTTGCACCCTCCCAAAGCATCGCTACTGCTGCCAATGCTCGTGATGTCAGTGTCGCGTTCCTGGTCTAGTTGCAGGTCCCGCTCTCGGTCCGTGGGATGAGGTAGCAACGGCGAGTGCTCGATTGGAGCGGGAATGCCTCCGAATTGCATGCTCTATGAACTCTTCGGGTCGTATAAGAGCTCAAGGGTTCCCGCACGATGATGCCATTGCGACCTTCTTTGTAGTGATAGCTCCCATCTCGGACGCGTCGGTTTCTCAGTCAAAACTGCCCGACACAATGAAGTTCTTCACCTCCCTCCTCGCCGTCGCCAGCTCCGCGGCGCCACTTTGCGCCGCACTCCCTCAGGCCAGACAGACCAGCTGGCCCAATGGCCCGCTTGTGACGGACGGTCGCTGGGCTGTCGATGCCGCTGGCAACCACATTCAGTTCGCCGGCACCAACTGGCCCGGTCACGGCGAGGTTATGGTTCCTGAGGGCCTGCAGTTCCTCTCCGTCGAGGGCGTCGTGTCCAAGATCAAGAGCATCGGCATGAACGCCATCCGTCTGACCTACGCGATTGAGCTCGTCGACCAGATCTACGCCAACGACGGCAAGGACATTGACATCAAGACGGCTTTCATCGACGGCCTTGGTGAGACCAACGGTACTGCCGTCCTTGCGCAGGTCTTGGCCAACAACCCTTCCTTCACGGAGGCGACCACCCGTCTCGAGGTATGTTATTTGCTCTCCCGCTCCTTCGCGAAGCTCGACACCCGCTAAAATACGCACCCAAAGGTTTACGATGCCATTGCTGCTGAGTGCGCCAAGCAGGAAGTCTACATCCTCCTCGATAACCACATGTCCACCGGCAAGTGGTGCTGCTCTGGAAATGACGGCAACACTTGGTGGGGAGACCGCGAGTTCGATCTCGCCAACTGGGTGCGCGGCCTGACCTACATGGCCAACCATGTAAGTGAATCGAAAGAAGGGAAGATGCTGTAGAATCCAAGCTGATAACCATCGTCAGGGAAAATCGTGGACTGCCCTTGTCGCCATGTCCCTCCGCAACGAGCTTCGCCAGGCCACGGATAACGACGAGCTGGTCGCTGCTTCGTACAACTGGCAGGATTGGTACAAGTACATCCAGGATGGCACCAACGCCATCAACGGCGCCAACCCTGGCCTGCTCATCTTCCTCTCAGGCCTCAACTACGACACGACCGTTGTGCCTGCCTTCGCCGGCACGGCATTGACGCCCGGTAACGGCACCTTCCAGCTCTCTGACTTTGAGGGATACGCCAACAAGCTCGTTCTTGAGATCCACAACTACGAGGGCTCCATCGGCAGCTGCGCCAGCTTGAGCAACAACCTATACACCAAGGGCTTCCAGGCCATGAATGCCTCGGATCCTGCGACGGTCAATGTCTTCCCTGTGGCGCTGACCGAGTTTGGCTTCAACATGAACGACAACACATACCTCAACACCTACTCAACGTGCCTGGCATCGTACTTGCCTCAGATCCAGGGCAGCTTCTTCATCTGGGTTCTGGTGGGTAGCTACTACATCCGTCAGGGAACGCAGAACTTTGAGGAGTCGTGGGGTCTGTTGAATGCGGACTGGTCTGAGTGGAGGAACCTCAACTATGTTAGCGAGCAGCTGGCGCCCATGGTTGCTGGTGTTATTGGATAGATGAACCTCTTAGAGTAGTCGTAACTGATTTGGAGTAATGAAATTATGAACTCAATCCTTGATTAGCCATCGAACATGTGATTTTGAGGAGGAGAACCGTGGCGCCGATAAGCTAAAATGACTCTGTGTATGTGCGAAAGCCATGGTAAGAAGTGTTATTCTCAATACCTGGTGCCGGTTTGGTCAATCCTTGGAGAACACTGTTGAGACCCCGAGGCGGGATATTCCCACATCCTCCAAAATTGGCAAAGCCAAAATCAAGATGTGAATGATTTTTCTTTGGTAGAATTGATCAGCTGGAGAACTAAGAGATGGAAGATGGATGATGTCGAGTGTTTGTTGGTGGTGTAAGTGCAACTATTTGGGCAAGAAGACGAAAGGACAGTGTTTGCGACCGACACACTGTCAGCGCACGGTGCAGATTTCCCATTGGCTCACCACAGCGCGCTAGAGCCACGCGCCGGCAAGGCTGAGAAAGGCTGTCAACGATTTCTTTCTCGACACCCAATCTCCGCGCTCTGTTTTGAGTTCAACAGCTTGACCCTTTGTTCACCCTCGAATCCCTGGCAAATCTCGAGCTTCCGACGGGTACGAAATGACATAGCCGCTGGAACTACGCCATTTGCATTGCGAAATCGCCTGAACATCAACCAGGATGGTGGTCTGCAAGTTCTACGAGCAGGGGAACTGCAGGTATGGACGTACGTCACTTGCTATGCACCCATCACCCCTCCCTCGGGGGGTCTCAATCGCATACTCGGATTCAAGAGGCTGACACGTCATATCCAGAGAACTGCCGATTCGAGCACCCAAGGTCGCAATCAAACAACCGCTTCGCAGCCTTTGGCCAAAACACTGGAGGGGGATTCAATCGAGGCGGCAACAACAACGATGGTTCGTCCAGCGACCGCGTCTCCTCGGAGTCTTCGACGACCAATTTTGCTTACAGATAATCAGGCCTACCATACTCACTATTAAAGGAGGCCATTGAGAAGGATCTGACATCAGAAGCGCCGCAATGGATCTTGTCCGCCTACGGCCCTGGGAGGGATGCTCCGGAACAGCTCTTCGGTGGCAACCTGCGCGAGCAGAGTTTTGAGGAGATGAGACTCGTTCACATGATGGCGACAGCCTCTGGAAATCCTCAACAAGCGGTAAGTCGCCTTGCATAGGTCTATAGATCCATCAGCTGACGGACCCCAAAGCTCAATCAAGCACAAGAGCTATACCAGCAAGCCCAGCAACAAATGAAGACGGCAGTAGGCAACCTTGACGGAGCTATACAATTCATCATCTCAGCCGAACAGACACATCCCAACAGGATAGATATCTGCAAGCAAGGCACGTTGCCAGGTGGGACCACAGGGGAGTTTGCAGTGGGAAAACGGGCCGCTTCTTCACAACAGAACCCTTTTTCGTCAAACTCGAACGCAGCGTCGTCGAACCCGTTCTCCTCCAACAACACCAACACGACTTCTGCTTTTGGTGGCGGCGGTGGAGCTTCAACAGGGAGCGCCTTTGGACAGCCAGCGGCCTTGGGGCAACGTGCGAATCCCTTTGGCACGCCAGCTTTTGGTCAGACGTCGCAACCATCGCAGCAGACTTCAGCATTCGGCCAACCATCACAACCTACGTCGGCGTTTGGAGCCGCAAGCAGCTCAGCACCGGCCTTTGGCCAGACATCGCAACCTTCATCTGCCTTTGGACAACCCAGCGCGCTGGGAGGTGGAACATCGGCATTTGGCCAGGCTTCAGCACTGGGCCAGAAGCCAAATCCCTTCGGCGCGCCTGCGTTTGGGCAGCCAGCACAACCAGCAGCGGCAACAGGCGGCAGTGCTTTCGGTCAACCATCTCAACTTGGCGGAGGCGGCAGCGCGTTTGGCCAAGCAAGTGCTCTCGGACAAAAGCCGAATCCCTTTGGTGGCGCGACGAGCGGTGCCAGCCCGTTCGCCAGCGCCGGAGGCAGCAGCAATACACCCAGTCCGTTCGGTCAGGCTTCGCAGAACACTGCCAGTCCTAGCCCCTTTGGACAGCCCGCACAAAATACGACACAGAACGCCAACCCTTTCGGGGCTCCAGCCCAGGCGAACCCAAGTCCGTTTGGTCAGCCAGCACAGCCTGCGACAACAGGCGCGTTTGGACAACCGGCTCAAACTGCATCTTCGAATCCCTTCGGGCAGCCTTCTCAAGCGCAACCGGCGGCCAGCAACCCCTTTGGAGCGAAATCCGATGCGCAGCCCAGCGCCTTCGGTCAGCCGGCGGCGAATGCTCAGCCAGCACAGCCAACGCAGCCCGCCAGCGGATTCAGACAACCAGCTCAGCTCGGCCAAAAGACGAACCATTTCGGACAGAATAATGCGTCTCCGTTCAGTCAGCCGTCCGGTGGCCTCGGGGCGGTTGGATCAGCACCAAACCCTTTCGGAGGGCAGACCGCTGCTCCAGCTGCGCCCGCCGCGCAACAAGCGGCGGCGCCTGGGAGCGGACCGTACCCGCCGGGGAGCTCGAGACAGCATCCACCCGTGTCGAGCTACAGCTCCAAGGACATGAATGGGCGGCTGTCCAACTGGAAGGGCAAGCCCGTCACCTACCAGAACAACTTGCCCGGCATCCGGGCCTTCAACGGCGCGTGGTCCAGGATATGGTTCCCGGATGGCCCGCCAAACTACTACAAGGACACTGAACTGCCCGACGAGTTATATGACGACAAGTCGAAGCAACAGTGGCAGGCGTTTACGCAGACGGGCAAGTTTGAGGGACTCATGCCCGAGCTGCCGCCCAAGAGAGAGTTTTGCCTTTGGGATCTGTAAAAGGGGGGGACAGGGGAGAGGAGAGAGGAGACGAGAACCAATAACGGTCTATTTGTACTTGTGTAAAGGGGGCTGGCATTGCACGGCGTTGATTTCAAAAAAAAAAAAATCAGTTGGTGACCGGGGGTTTGGTATCTGGCTGGTAGCAAATTGGGGCATGTGATATTATGGTGCTAAGTAGGTACTGCACTCAAAGTGGGCGCCAAGTGCTCAAACATTCAAGGTCTCTGGAAGTTGGCTACATCAATCACAGGTGACCAAGGCCTTTCACTTCACATCCACCATGACCTGGATCACGATCGTGACTTCATTTGGGGCGTCAAGAGTAATGGCACGTTCGCACGACACATCACCAGCGAGGGAATTTAAATGGGGGATCATCAGTTGATTCGGGTGGTATCTAGACCGCCTCACTCGTCCCGCCGCCTTCGCATAACTACGCGCCGAGGTCAAAACCTTTCGGCCCTCTCTCTGGTCGTGAGCTTCAGCAACGCAGCATTCCCAAGTCCGAAGCCCATACCATTTCGTCCCTCCTACAACAACTCGTCTTTACAACATTTTTTTTTTCGGGCCGTGGTTTTCCAATTCGCTTATGCGGCAATGGTGACCTCGACCTCGACACCGGCCTCGATGTTGATGATGATCTGCTTGACGATCTCGGTGGGGGCGTTGAGGCTGTTTTCATCGTTAGTCAATTTACTCAAAAATCTCGATTCTTCGTAGCCGCGCTCAATTGCGCAATGACTGCGCTGACGGGGGGCAGAAGGAGGACTCACTCAATGAGACGCTTGTGGATGCGCATCTCGAAGCAATCCCAGGTCTTGGAACCCTCACCGCAAGGGGTCTTGCGGGTGGTGACCTTGAGGGTCTTGGTGGGCAGGCGAACGGGGCCGGAGACGCGGAGGTCCTTTGACTTGGCGCGCTCAATGAGCTCGGCGCTGACCTTCTCGAGGGACTGGACCTTGCGGGAGGAGAGGGTGATGCGGATCTTGTGCGTCTTGGGCGCCTCGCCGAAGTCCTTGTCCTTGTTGTAAGACATTTTGAAGGTTGTTGTTGAACGAAGAGGTTCGGTTGTTGGGTTTTGGTGGTAGGTTAGGGAGAGATTGAATTTCCTTCACGACTCGAACGGCTTGGTTGCGGCAAAGTGATGAAGGCTGATGATCTTGTCGGCTGGTGAGCTTGCGGACGGAAAGAATTGCGATCGCGAACTTTTTTTCGTGGGGTTTGGAAAGTAGGGCTTTACCGAGTGGTGTGACTAAGCCTAGGTAGGTTTAGCGCAAAAGTGGGATGTCGGAAAAAAAAATACGTATCTTTTCGAGCTGGCCATTTGCGGCGGCAGGAAGCAAACAGCACAGAACCCCACCATTGAAGTAGATATCCACTTCCACATTTGAAGCTCCGCCGAAAGCTCACTGCATGGCTGGCTGGGGAGAGGCACCGACGTCAATGAATGAATCATCCGGCGAGAGACAAAGACGTCTCTCTTGAGAACAGCCTCAGTTCACCTCATCGCCACCTCAAAATTCATTGCCAAAACCCTCTGGATGCGCAACAACGACCGGACGACGAGCTCTTCCTAAGAGCATACCATCCAATTCTTGCATCCCGCAATAGAAATCCTCACCTCTGGGCACATCTTACCCCGCCAGTTCCAGCTCCCATCTCACATCTCACTCACTTCACCTCACTCACCCCAGAGCTCCAGCAACAATGGCAACCTCCCTCCCACCCCTAGCCCCCTTCCCCACGCCATCATGGCGCGCAAAACTCACACCTCCAGAATGGGAAACCCTCCTCAAAGCCTGGGCGACCCTGACGCAAGCCTACCTCGCCCTCCCAGATAAAGACCTCGCCCGCGCCGCCGCAAAAGAACACGCCTCCATCCCAGCCTTCCTCTCCTCCTTTACAACACAAGTCGCCGAAACAGGACCCTCACCAACCCTTGGATCCTCCTCCTCCACGACATCAAAGGCCCTACTGAGGTCAACATTCACACTCACGTCCCGCCTTCTCACAAACCCGACAACATCACCGCCAACACCCCTAACAACAGCCCCCTTCCTCTGCGCCTTTTCAACGCTCTACCGCAAAAATGCGCCGCTCACACTCTCGAAAGCCTTTACCCTCCACGTCAGCGTCCTCGAGCACCCCCTAGCAGGCCTCAAAAAGTCCCTCGCGCAATCAATGGAAGCAGGTCTCAAAGCAGATCTGAAATTCCTCGAGGCCCACCTCACGAACCTGAACCATTTACTCCACGCCTCCCCGCACGCAGCAGCCTTCTTCCTCGCCGGCTCAGATTTCTTCGATGGCCTGGTGACGGCATTCAAAATTACGAACCCGCCGCTGCGCAAGGTCCTCGTCGCGACGATGTACCTCTGTCTCATTGGCCTTACGGAGGGCGAGCAGCCTCGTTTCGGGATGCTTGCTGACGTGCTGTTTTCGCTAAAGTCTGCTGCTGAGACGCATAGGACTGGCCCGTTGAACGTTCATGATTCGCTTGTGGCGGAGTTGGTTACCGTTACGCCGGTGCTGAAGCAGTTATCCAAGAGGGCCGAAGAGAAGGGCGCGGCGTCGACGGCGTTAAAGTCACGTATTTCGGCGCTAGAGGGATTCAAGAAGCCTGGTGGCAGAATGATGCGGCCAAAGAGGCTCGTCAAGCGAAAGGTTGACAAAGGCAAAGGGAGAGATGTCGCGGAGGAGGGACAGGTTCAGGCGGAAATGCACATGCACCGGCAGAGTCAGATTTCACTCATCCAAGATCTGTTTCCGGATCTGGGGTCGGGGTTCATCTCGAAGCTGTTTGATGAGTATGGCGACAATACGGAGATTGTTACGGCTCATTTACTAGAGGATTCGTTGCCTCCGCACCTGGCGGCGATGGACCGCTCTGCTCCGTTGTATGTTTTCTCATTCTTATGTGTGTTCTACGCAAAGGCTAACGATATCACAGATCCCCCACGTTGGAAAGAAGGAAAAGCCAGCTCGAACCCAGACCAACGCCACCGCAATTACCTGAACGCCACAATGTGTTTGACGACGATGAACTCGACAGATTGGAGCTGGATGTTTCCAGACTCCACTTTGGAAAGAAAGGACCTGAAAAGACGGCCGAAGACGTACTCAAAGACAGATCCACTGCGCCGAATAAGGCGGCCATCTTGTCTGCACTCGCCGCATTCGACTCGGATGACGACGAACGTGACGACACCTACGATGCAGACGATGTTGGAGGCACGGTCGACAACGCCAACGAGGAGGCAGATGGTTCAAAGGATGCTAGCGAAGAGACGCTGTACAAGGCGTTCCAGGCCGATCCTAATGTATTCGACAGGCAGGCTACGACGAGGAGAGGCCCGGCAAGAGGAAAGTTGAGGGAAGAGACGGGCATGACCGACGAGGCTATTGAGGGCTGGGCGCTGATGCTTGTGAGGAACCCGGGCCAGAAGCGTCGACTCGACGCCAAGTACAGCGGCGCCGCTGCGTTTACTGGTACCCAGACCGAGATTCTGTCAACGGCCTGGCGAGCTAGTCCGGCTGGCTCAGGTGCCGAGGATTCTGAGACCGGTGGTGGCAGCTCATCACGAGGCGGCGGAGGCGGTCGTGGACGAGGAGGTCGCGGTCGTGGTGAAAGAGGGGGCGGAGGCCGAGGAGGTGGGAACGTGGCCGGCCCCACTGGTGAAAAGGAGACCGAGGCCGCGCGGAGGAGAAAAGAAGCTAGCAAGAGCTCCCGGGCGAACCACAATCGCCGCGACCAGAGGGCCAAGAAGATGGCGAGAGGTGGATTCCCTGGCTGATGTCGGATATCTCACTCAGCCTAGGAATAGCATATTCAATGCAACCTTTGCCTCTTGGCATTCTGACTTGAACTGCGCATTAGTGGGACTGCGGCTGCTCGCTTGCTGGGGCCGCTTTCGTTCGTGCGTGTGAAGGCGTCGTCGTCGTAAAGATCCTCTGCGCTTAGGGTCAGGGCGTATGGGCTTTTGACGTCAACGATGCCTGGAGTGCCAGGTTGTGGAGTGAAGCAGAACGGGTGAGCGGCGGACGGTGACATTATGCTGGTGAATGAGGTGCCGACTTCCTCGACGCCGGAGGCCCGAGTCCAGAATGCATGGTCCTTTGGTGTCGCCAGCTCTGATGTTCCACCGATTGAGGTCAAGTCTCCGTGATCGCTTTCGTTGCGCCCGATCATGGATCGGAGTGACTCGCGTGAACTCCGCCGGCTATCGAGGTACGTTCGCAGGTCGTAGCATTGTCGACAAGTGGGGTATACTGGGTAACATTCTGATTCATTCCGATATTGCGGGAGCTGAGGTCGAGCTTGCTGGTCACATCTCTCCTGAATATCATCAAACAGATCGCCGATGGGGGTGAAATAGGTTATGCGGGAACCGCCACCCCAGTATCTGTTGCGGCCCCAAAGCTGGCCGACCAAGCTGTTGGTCTCAGCGTCAACAATGGCGGCGCCGCTGTCGCCCTCCACACCAATGCCTCCGCGGATCCACCCTTCTTCGTCGTCGTAAGGGCACGGCTCTTCGATGAACCACTCGCGTGTAGCCTTGCCAGTGCCGTTCATCTCGGCGCTGACGTAGTCTGGGATCTCGCAGACCTCCCCTCTCTGCTGGCCAGATGTTCGGCCCGTCGAGACCACAGTGGCCCCCGGCACGACGGCGCTGGTCGTCTTGACTGGGGTCTCCTTGAGAAGAGGCATGGTCTCGGAGGGGAACCGACGGAGGATGTTGGCCTGACGGGTCTTGGAGGCGATGAGAACCCAATCAGTCGCGACAAGAGGGGGCTCCTTGTCGCAGTCTTCCCAATACGGATGATGGGTTATGCGAGTCGTCTTCAGGTCAATTCCCGACGTGGCGGTGAGGCTACCTAGAGCGAAGTCCGTATCGGGTAATGTGTCGTGCCTTTCTTCTATGCAACGGCCTCGGTCGCTGGGTGATGGGTGTTGGACGCTGACTGATGCTAAGCGCTGGTATGCTTCCACGAAGGGATGGAAGTTGGCAAGCCAGTAGCTGCCGCCACCAATAAGTAGGCAGGGTCCTAATGTCGATGTACTCTCTTCGAAATCTGCATCGCCGTCGATACCAATGCTGTCGCCCATGCACGGGTCTTTGAAGTAGTATGGGTTCTTGGCCATGCAGATTTCGTCAGGCATCTCCTTGCTCAACCCTCTCGCCCAGACGAGACGGTCAATAGAGCCCTTGACGAACAGAAACTTGACGCCGGCCCGATGGCTCTCGGGTAATAGGTCTCTGACGTGTGCTGCAATGATGATTTTGCGAGCTCGCGAGGGCAACTCGCCTCCAACCGTGATGCGGATTTGCCACGTGCCTAGTGATTTATTGCGAGTGGCGGTGAGGATATGCTTGGGGCCGCACCATTTTGGGATGAACTCGGAGAGGAACGGTAAAACTGCATGCTCCCACACTATAGCAAAAGCCGCATTGTTGATCAAATGTGATATTTGAGGTCGGGACAAATCGCTTGGGCTTTCGGCTGCGAGAGGAGTTTGACCTGGCCAAGTCAGCACGCGGGCTCTGCCAATCGGACTTAGTTGTAGTTACCTTTGTCTCCTCTCTGTCTTCTATACCTTTTCTCCACAACATCCCTCAGCTTCTCTCGGCACTTCTTCTTGGATACCGTGACGGACAGTATCTGCTTTATGGCTCGTTCCTCCAGGTTTTCTCTCTGGGATGGTGCTGGGACACTGCTGGTGTCGTGAGACGAGGATGGCGTGGCCATGGTTTGGGCGAGAGGCTTCGGCTTCGAAAGTGGCTCCTTAGCTTTCCCCTTGTTATTGCCCTCGGCGTCTGGATGAGCACATCTTATATGACTCTCAAGTATCTGGTTGGTTTGGAATGAGCTCTCGGTACATCCAGGGGCTGGGCAGATCAGGAGGTGCTCCAGCTTGACGTGCCAGGTGAGACCGTCTTTTGAAGAAAAGCTGGGTTGTTCGCAGCTTGCCCAGTTGCAGGTGTAAGTGTGGACCGTCTTGAAATGGTAAGCCAAGTCCTTTTCTTGGTCAAAGGTTTCGTCGCATTGGTGACCCAAGCAGATAAAGCGGCTTTGAGCCCTGCCGGTAGAGCCATTCAAGTCGGTAGACCTTTTCGTGGCACCTTGGGTGGACGAGATTGTCGAGGCAGTCTTTGTTGTCGGCCATTCATACGGAAAATCAGTTTGTGTGGGTGATACCCCAGAGCCAGCAGACGACGGCTGGGAGACAATTGAAGGCGATGAGTGGGTGATACTGGACACTGTGCTCAGGGCTGGGGGAGGAGGGGCCTGCGCAAGCGACGAGGTAGGCTGAAAGATGTTGAACCGAAATGGATCGCTAATGGGTAAAGGCTTCCCAAATCGCTGGTCTACCTGACTGATGCCATGGCTTTGGAGCCAGGAGCTCTCGCCATAGATGGAAGTTCCACGGTAGACGTCCGCAAAGGAGGCGTCCTCGGCAGGCGTCCAGTATGGCGGAACTGAGGCAAAGCTGTCAGCATCCGATGGGGCGACGGCTGTAGCGAACAAAGCTCCATGGTGGTGGGTAGGTGACCGCCGGCGGATCCGTTTCGGTGGCGGCGAGTTGAAGGTATCTTGAGGAGAAGTCCGCATGGTGAGGGGTGACTTTGGTGTGTCGTCTATGGCTGGCTTACACCGGTGGCCGAGCCAGCGGATCTTGGAAACGATACGGGAACCACTAGGGATGGCCTCAACGAAACTCAATTCGTGGACATTCGGCGTTGAAGATGGTTTTAAGGCAGAAGAATCAAACGGCGAGAGTAAGAAGATGGCATGGGGGAGGGAAGCGGCCTCCAAGAAGCGGCGGCAGGCGGGTGCGGCACAGCTCTTAGTCTGGTTGCCTGATCTAACCACCGTCCAACGCAACATTATTAGCACTGTACACCGGGTGCTCAGTTGGTATGATACACGGTGCCCAGGTAACTAACTCAGCACTATGTGGATCAGATCACCCCTCTCTCTCATGAAGATGGCGAACCATTCATCGTCACTGAAGAACGTCGAGAAGTAACCGACTCATCATCTTCATCGCCAGATAAGTTAAAGTGTATTTATCATTTCTTTTCTATATGAACAAGCTTTGGAATGTACATCTGTCTCATGTAGTCTCTTCTTGTCAGCGCTGATTTAGTTTCTTGCTAAGACTCACTACAAGACGCCGGAAAAAGCTTAAGAAGAGGCAAGAATCTCAACAACGCAGAGGTTTTTCCTTCTGAATCTTGAATTTGAATGATGGATGTAAGCGGTATGAGATGCTACAATTTTACTCAAGTAATACACGCTTAGCTTGTGTCTCATCTGGTCCTCTGCTTCATCCGATAAGTCAAACCCCCCACTTCCTGGCACCCCCCTGTTTCTGGCACCCACAAAAACGCGAAAATCCACCACAACCCAATGCCCACCCCCAACCTCCTTTTATCACAACATTTTCAATTCGCGTCCAAATGGGCTCATCTTTTGCACATACCTTCTTCTATATCTAATGCCTCAATATACCGAAGATCAGCTTCGTCAGGCTCTCAAGGACTTCTCAAACGGCAAGAGTCAAAAGAGAGCCTCATTGGAGTATGGGATACCACGATCAACCCTCCAACTACGTCTCCAAGGTGGTCAGACTAGGAAAGTGGCTTTTGCTGACTGGCAGAGGCTGTCTCCTGACCAGGAGAGTAAGCTGGCACAATGGGTTCGCATTCAGGCTTCGCTGGGCCTCGCACCAACGCACCAACAGGTGAAGGAATTCGCAGAGCGAGTTCTGGCTGCTGCTGGGGATACCAAACCACTGGGAAAAGGCTGGATCTATGCCTTTGTGAGAAGGAACCCTATCATTAAGGTTCAGAGAAGTCGTTCTATCGATTCTAGACGCGTTAATGGGGCATCTACTGAGGTCATTAGGAACTGGTTTAAGTTCCTCGCTATCCCTGAGATCAAGGACATCAAACCAGCCAACAGATATAATATGGATGAGACTGGCATCCTCGAGGGTCAGGGAGCTAATGGGTTAGTGCTGGGTATGGCTGAGACGACGTCTGTTCGCAAGAAACAACCTGGGTCGAGGGCATGGGTCTCTATCATTGAGTGTATCTCAGCCTTGGGTAGGGCACTTCGTCCTCTTATCATTTTCAAGGGGAAGACAGTCCAACAGCAGTGGTTTCCATTACATCTCGTTCCATACGATGGGTGGGAGTTCACAGCAACAGATAATGGCTGGACTACAGACTTAACTGCCATTGAATGGTTAGAGAAGGTGTTCATCCCACAGACTATGCCTGAGGCTGAGGGGGAGGCTCGACTGCTGATTGTGGATGGGCATGGGAGTCATACGACGACAGACTTCATGTGGAATTGCTATATTAACAATATCCATTTACTGTTCTTACCACCACACTCCTCTCATGTCCTCCAGCCTCTTGACCAGTCTGTCTTCAGCCCTGTTAAGTCAGCCTATCGGAAGGAGCTCGGTTACTTGTCTCAATGGAACGACTCTACCACTATAGGTAAAAGGAACTTCCTGGACTGTTACCAGAAGGCTCGACTTGCTGGTCTATCAGTCTCGAACATCAGAAGTGGTTGGAAGTGGACTGGTCTACACCCTGTGGCGATGGTTAAGCCCCTGATGAACCCTATGGTACTACCTGAGCCTCCTGCTAAGCCCACCACACCCAAACCAACTAGTCAGGGCAGAAAGCGATGCCATAATGGTCAACAAACTACCCCTGTTGAGCCATGGGATTCTGCCTCCTCTGCAGTGGTCTGGTCGACACCCAGGAAGCTGGCAGAGCTCAGCGGTCAACTGCACTTATACACCCAACTCGACAATGATACCAGCACTCAACGGCTGCTATTCAGGAAGGTGAAAAAAGGCTTCACAGAGCAGGCCTGGCAACTGGCAGCTGCCCAGCAGCAACTAGCTCACCTGAGGGCTCAAGTTACCAACGCTGCAGTGAGGAAGAGGAAGACTGTTCAAATCGATCCCAACACGAAGTTCGCGAACATCAGGGATATCCATCGGGCTCAAATCGAAGCGGGTGAAAAGGAGGTTATCACGGCTGAATCCAGCGACTCTGAATGCCCTAGTGAGGCTGGCAGCTGTATTGTAGTGGGTGTGGTTGAGGATCAATAGTTAATAGTAATGAGGAGGTCGGGTTGTGATCCCATCGTTTTTGTGGTGCCAGAAACAGGGGGGTGCCAGGAAGTGGGGGGTTTGACTTATATAACCCCTCGAAAGGCCTATTACCTAGTTAACTACCTTTTACAACGTGGTTACAAAGATTCATCGTCACTACAGACCATTTCCCACTGACTCCGTTTCCTCCGAACACTAGGCTACATCGGCCGTCCACTTACATGATTCCCTATTATCCTCCCCTTACCAAGAACACTAGACTAGCTCCTTATTTGTCGCTAGGATAAACTTAATATCTAACTTTAACTTGGCTAACTTGTCTCTTATGTAAGCCCAGCTAGCATCGACTTATTCTTACTCCCAGGTGGGCGGCCTCGCTTCTTACTACTTACGCCTTGGCTACTATAGGTAGTGCGGGCTTGTCTAGCTAACTGGCCCTCTACAGGTAAGGCTAGTTATGATAGGACAGGCTGCACTGTGTTCTTTGGCCTGCCGCGGAGGGATACAGCAATCTTAGGGTCAAGGATCCGGCGGTATAGATCTAAGGAAGACGTCTCTCGAAGACGCCACCGAGGGTATACCTCCTATTTACTAAAAGTAGCTAAATCTAACTTTTAGGAGTAGATCTTATAGCAGCATAGGATACCCAGCTCAATTAAAACAGTACAGTCTAGACCATAATCTCCAAGGGGGGCTAGGAATGGCCTCGTGCCAGACGGCATTGCCTTCTTTGCCAGCCGGTATTACTTCCCAATTAATACAAGACACTTCGAGGAAAACATCGTTCGAAGTTCGCCTAGGTACTCAAAGCGAGTACCTATATACTCCTGGCCTATAAGCACTTCATCCTCAGCACAAGCTTGCCTAAAGCGTATCTCCTGGTCACCAATCATATCCTACATAACATCAACAAGTCGATATAGGTAACTAAGATCATTTAAAAGATAACTCTTAATATTATTATTACTTAACTCAGTGCCAGAGGTAACGCGAACACCAAAGTTCTGGTATTTTCGGATAGAGCAGCGGGCCCACTGTACTCTTAAAGGTAGGTATATTGTGTGGAGGTACTAGAGGATTGGGCGTTGGTCGTTAAACTCTTTACAGAGCTTGGTCCAGGCTTTCTCAAAAGCGTACTCAGTCTCAGCAAAAACAACAAACTTCCACATCATAAGGACCCCACGATACATATGAGGGGGGGGCTCATCAACAGATATGTTGATATAGGCCTCATCCTCATTACTTAGCGTGGCCATTGCTTGTATTGGTAGCTGATATCCCTCGTCATCAGACCCACTGCTGTTACTGCTACAGCTGCGGTCCTTAACCCACTTCTGCTTAGCCCTGAGCATAACGTTAGAATTGATGTGGTGGATGCAGAGTTGTTGCTGAACGTCTGGGAACTGCTCATTCAGTGCAGCCTTCATCTACTTGTCGTAGTCTATAATAATAACAGTGGGGTAACGGACTGAGTGTTGGTCCATGAGTTGGCGGATCCCTGCTGAGAGAAACTGGAAACCCTCTAGTCTCTCGTTGTCGATAAGGCCAAACGCAGCGTTGTAAACAGATCCAAGGCAGGTCTGCCCAGTAGCTTAGAAGAGAGGGAGCTTAAAGCGATTGGTGTTGTAGGTATTGTCAAAGCTAATCACCTCAGGGAATCGCTTCCACATTTGGAGACAGTAGGGAAAGGTCCAGACAAGGCCAATAAGGCGGTTTGGCTCGGCGTCTGCCCATTTCACCACGTATGGGATGTCTCGCTCATCAAACAGCTTAATTAATGCTATAGTTGGCGAATATCCCGCTAGTTTCTCTCGGTTTATACGAGCCCTAACGTTATAGATATCTCGCTGGGTGAATAAGGAGTCTAGGAACTACTCCTAGACAACAGTACGCACATCGCAAGCCCGAATCCCAACTCGTCGGCTTGTAGTTTCAATGGCATCCTGAAGTAGCTGGGTAAGCCTACGATATAAAGGGTGTGCAGTAGCTTCAAGGCTAGGGCCATGATTATACTAACTGTGCTAGGGGTCTAGGTGATAACGTAAAAGCCACTTGCCCTCCTCTTAAGCCTCGGCAATAACTTGCCATTTACAACCGCATTTACGAGACTTGCGCTGTCGAATGCCAGCACCTTATGTAGGCCCAGGCTTGCCAAACCGATCACACTAGAAGGTATATCGAATAAGTCGGCCCGAGCTTTATGCCTATTCCGCTTTACAATGCCAAATCCATTAGCTCTTACAAAGATATTAACTCGGTCGAAGAGGGCATCATAGGTTTACTCTGGATCGCCAGGAATCGATGGGTTTGGGATTTCGGTTATCCCATCGAGTGCTGCAAGGCGACAGTACATTGAGATGCGGGGGAGCAGCCAATCGGGCCACTTCGGGCCCCTTTTTCCAACCAACCAACGTAATTGATAATAGATACTTCCAATTACTAGAGATTCTGCGTATGAAATCGGTACCAGCAATCTTCTGAGTTACAGAGAGCTACATCGCACTCGAGGCAGCCCATCCTCGTGTACTTCCCAGGGATACCGGGCTCAACCTCCGGAGGCTCGCGGGGCCGAACAGTGGCATTATCACATTGCTCCGGCGTACAGTCGGCAGTGCAGGCGGCGGCGAGGTCCTCGGGCAGCAGGGCAAAGATACACGACTTCGCCGAGCCCGTGGAACGGCCAGATCCGTCAGAATCGTCAGAATCCATTAATTGAGTATTGGTAATGATGGATTTGGTAGATGTACCGGAGTGGAAATCATAGGGGCAACTCAAGCAGTGGATGTACCAGATGCGGTGCGGGGTAAAAGGGGGCCCGTTATGTGGAGCCAATGTACTGTCGCCTTGCAGCACTCGATGGGATAGGAGGAGAGGAGGATTGGTTACTTAGAGTGTGGTAGGAGGCTGCAGTTCGGAAAGACGCTTCGCTTTGAGGGGAGGATTGCCGTAGGGGTGAATAGGGTGGTGGGTTGACTTGGGGACCCTATGTTTCTTACCATTGACGGACATACTCTTATTGTCGGAGGAGTGCCGTTATTAGCTGTTGATTAGTCCCAATAACCTGTAGAACAAGCTAAAGAGCACTATTGAACTGCTCTGTTGTAAGATGGGAAGGTTACTGGGACTATTCGTTGGGAGGAGAGGGGCTATGCTCTGGAGAAAGTCGTGGGAGAGTAGTCCGCTAGGTTTTTATTATTCCTTTAGGGAAATGACAAGTAAGATATAGCGTAGGCTCTATACTAGGGTAATCGTATATAAGAGGTCGCGTATCTTATAGTATATCGGCTGGGAGCTCGGTAATAAGGTCGCGCTGCCCTTGAGGATTACCAACTCCATAGAATTGGCTAACGCTAGGGCGGCTGCTTTCTAAGGAGGGAGACGATAGTGGTTGGCCAGATGATGGTGGGAGGCCGTACTCAAACAATTGTCGCTCTCGTATAGGGGGAGGTTTATTAGTAGGGGTATTGCTTTGAGATTGGCCTTGTGGAACATCTCTAACTCCAGTTAGAGAAGCCATTATAAGTAAATAGCATAAGTCAGACTTAGAGGCTTGATGATGTAACCTTAGAGGAAAGGGAGCAAAGGAACAAAAAGGGTTGAGATACTTTATGGGTATCTGGCAGAATTTGATTGCACTAACAATGTTTTTTGAGCCAATCAAAAGGTCGAACAGCGACGCCGGTGTAAGGTCGACGCCGGTGTATCAATTTGCGACGCCGGTATATCAATTCCCTTTGCGGATACCCCGACAGTACTCAACCCACCCTAGAGTTCGGGCCAGTCGACTGGTGGGCTTCAACTAACCTCCAACCTACAACGCCATACTTTCCTGCACAGTCTGCCTTAGATTCGAGTAACTGGAACTACCCTGATGCCTCTGTGGTGCAGTCAAACCTGCCCATAAGCTATTCTATTCTATCTGCCACACCGTCTCCGACGAACGTCGAATCGTCCTTCGGTTTAACATCTTCTATAAGTGAAGAGACACTTTGTCGCCATAGCATCACTTCGAGTGATGACGGACCAGAAGTAAACCAAGAGCATGCACCTCCGCACAGAAAGAGGAAGTCTAGCAAGGATAACGCCGTCAGTGCTCACCAAACACCCAGAAAGCCAGCTTTGCAGAGACGCCATAGCAACGTCTCAGAAACGCAGCCACCATCAGTAGGCCGGGAACGCCATAGACGAGCGTCGGCCCGCAACTGGCAGAAGCAGAAGCAACAGAGCGCCGACCTTGAATCAGCCAAAGATTATCGCCGAGGCTCGCAATCGAGAACTCCACCGAGAGCACTCGCAAATCCTGGATCAGGTCATGAACCTCAAGAACGCCCTTGTGGACCACGCAGAGTGCAACCACCCCGCTATCAACGGGTGGCTCCGCTGCCGGGCGGCTAATTATGTTCTCACCAAGGGAGGATCTGTCGATATCGGATGGAATGGCGAGGGTGAATCAAGTGCGGGTGAGGTGTCTATGACAGCGTATCCTCCAGGCTGGACTAGGACTCCATGTGCTTAAAGGCATTGGTGAAACACCTCACAACTTGGAAGAGAAGCCTTCATGTAGTCATACTTAAGAGTCTAAGTAGCTGAGACTTCTTTTGGACCTAATCGATCACTGGCTTCTCATCTCTCAGGCACTGGCTTTTTAATCTCACAATCATTTTGTTTCCCAATGAGGTGTAATATGTGATAGGTGGAACTTCGTGCTTTTCAGTTTCCTGATCAACAGTTGAACCAGTATTATCTATTACAGAGGCCAACATGCAATATCGTCGCCTCAGGGACTAGAAAAGACAAGGTGATCGACCCCCAGATCAAGCCAATACAACCTTTCGAATCTAGTACGAGTTATGCTTCGTGCTGATCTGGGTCATCTAGCCAAGACTACATCCCCGTGATAATTTCCGGGGGCAGCGGATATGGCGTCTGGACCCTTCTGGCTTCCTGGAACAAGACTGGTTTCTGTATACCGATCTTATTTACCGAAACTGATGTACATCCTTGTCAAGGTGATCTGAAAGACATGTCTACTACTCTCATTATCCCTGTGCGGCCAATCGAGTGCAGCGTTTGCCTGATAGACTCTCAGCGGTCCCGTACCCGGCGATCCTGAGTTTGGTTTGCTGGGCAGCGTCATCCTGGCTAATTGACGAGACGTGGCGATCAAATCCTTGGACATAGTTCACTTCACATGGATATCCCAAATTAAGACGAAAAATTCGATCGTGGGCACACACTTTAGCAAATTTGAAGGCCGACGTCAATGGTCTAGTGGAACCCAGTTCACGATAAGCCGACAAACGTTGTGACGGCGAGATGCATCTCTTCCAGCAAAACATGCAGATTCATCGCATGACATGGTAGGTCAGATAGAACGAAAACAAATCCAGAACTCCTGGTATCCATTACCTGTCGTAAGACGTCTCTAAATAATCATAAATCTCGTAGCCCTTCATATGTCGGCAACGAGGGGACTTTTCGTTGTTATCGCGCTTTCCACCAGTACCTTTGTCCGCCTGGTATATTTATTTCCTCATTTCTTGCCAACTCCATTTGCCAGTCGGTTCACCAGCAAGCCTCCCAACGTAGCCTGGATAGTATCCTTCTTGCTCCCACCGCCATCTTTCGAGCCATGCTGCCCGTTAGTATTATTGTTGAAAGCCGCGATGGCAGCAGCACCCGCCGCAGCCGTCGCCATCCTCGTTCCCTTCTGAGACCAGGATGTCTTTTCCTTCCTCATCCTCCATGCCTCACTTGCGCCCGCCACAACGGCCGCCGTAGCAGCAGCTTGTATGATCGCGGCCTTGTCAGAGTCATTACGCTCTAGTCCCCTCGAGGACCGAGACGTCTTACTATCCTTCCGACGGCTGCTGCTGCTCTGTCCATGACCTCGTCGACGAGGCCTGTCATCTCCGCTGTCAGAGTACTCGGCGTATGTGTCGTGCCTTCGGGCAGGGGCCCGACCATAGCTTTCGGAGCGGGCGCGGACGGGACCGGCGGGGCTGTAGGATTCGTGGCGGCGAGTGCTACGCCGGTGGCCACCGCTGGCTTCGTACTCATGGGCGCTGCGAGAGACATGGCGCGAGGCCTTTGGTCGCTCATAGTCGTCATAGTATGGGTCATCGTCGTCGACGACGCGCTCTTTGTGGTGACGTTCCTGGCGTGGCATCATGGGCGAAATCTGAATGGGATCACGATCACCACGTGGGATGTGCCTGGACTTCCTTTGACAAGTGCCGGAAACGGAAAGGCTAGATACGCGGGGGCGTTGCGGAGACGCAGGCTACCGATGAGGCCGTTCGCTTTGGTCCCTCTCTAGTCCTGATAGTGACGAGTTGACTTTGTTGCGCCCGGGAGCTGAAAATGCACGATCAGATCGATAGAAGCGCTGGAAGAGGCAGGGTGGGGAAGAACAGGACGGTTGTGGAACGTCAGAATTCTTGGTATTATTGTCGTGGATCATCCAAATATTTTGTGTGAATAAGGAAGAAATCAAAGCACGGAAGTAAACGCAGCATTGCCAGTGGGGAGTTATCTGATTATGAGATACCAAGTTTGATTGCTCTTGAACACTGGAACTCACACCACCCGGGGAACCTTGTATCACTGGGCACTCGCTCTGCTGGCACTTGCTACCCGACTCGGCAGGCTGAATTTTGCTTTCAAGGCTTGCACCAGAGTTTCCCGGTTGCTTTTTGGTGAAGGGGGGTGATGTAAGAGTTTGAGACTGACGAGGATCATTGCTGTTTCGGTGCGGAGCTGAGGCGTGTTGGGGCGACGGGAGACGTCAATATGATGCGGCCCGCGCACCCGTTTCTGTTGCCCACTTAGGTTGAGCGAAACACGACATGATGTCAGACCGATCGTGCGCAGGGAGTTTATCTCGGTGTGGTCTACAGTTGGTTCTAGGCCTTTGAGAGTCTCGGTGAGCAGGTTTGGCCTTGATCATTATCTATGCGTAGAGCTTTTGGGTTTGCCTATCTCCAGCTCTAGCTTACTTGAAAGAGTCTTTATCCAGCATAATCTGCTTCTAAGAAGTGACTTATAGTCCTAGCATCTCAAATTTGATAAGTTTTCGATGCTGAACTCGAGCTGCAGGGTCTAAGATTTGAGGCACTGATAGTGTGATATCAGCTCTGCCTATGAAGCCCCCACTCTCACCGAAAATAAAGCCAGGGGCTAGGCATTCCACCGAATCCAGAAGGCATCATGACTCTCGTCCATTGTCCAATCGGGTTTCACGCGATCGATCAGGGACGATCGCTGGAGTTGGAGAGCCGGGAACGAGGCTGAAGGGGAGGGGAGGGGACTACGGGGACTATGGATCGTAAGGTAGTCTTATTTAGTCAAATCCCCATGCTAAGGCACTTTACTGAGATGGTTGGCATTGGTTGCCATAGGATCTGGGAGACTAAATCTATCAACGCGCCCCGGGCGGCTGGCCCATCGCTTTGAGATGCTTGCTGCAATCAAACGTGGCGCCTTTAGCTCAAGGGGGCCATCGGACACTTTGCTCCATGTCGCGTGCAGGTCGATTTAATTGATTTCTGCACGGTGGTTATGCGCCAGGGAGGTCGGAGCCCCTTTGATGCGCGTTTCTACGCGTAAATGACAGCGTCATAGACTTATACACAATCTGTGAACTCGACAATGATATGGACCATTGTGACTATGGTGTTTCCAGCTTAGAGCGCAATGATGAGCGTTGACAGTGAAGATGAGTTCGTATATGAACTGGGTAAATGCCGCTGGTCAAAGATGATAAATCAAAGATGATAAATTCAACTCCTTAACAACAATAAGACACAAAATCACCAAGCTTCTTGCATATAATATCTCAATACATCAACTTAGTTAATAACACCACAATGTCTTCCCAAGCCCCTACCGGAGTTGTCCAGGACAACGATTACGTGTCCCGACAGGGTGACCGTGAACCCATTGGCGTTCTTGGCGACGATGCCAAGGTCGAGGATCCCATTGACGCTGAGAATGCCGACTCAGATGCTCAGCTAGGTTAGTACCTATTACAGCGCACATTGAAACCTGATCCTGACGCACGTACAGAGCGTGATGACAAGGAGGCCATTGACAAGAGCAACATTGTGGAAGGTCGTACGCGTGGTGCCAAACCCACTGGCGAGTACCGTGAGCCTGGCGATACCGAGGGGTTGGAGGACAAGCGCCTCGAGTAAAGGCCAATCAGATCTGCCTTATGATTAATTGGGCGGCGTGGAGTTGGGTTATGAGCTGTATGAATAGTGTTTGCGTAATCATTGTATCAACATATTCTCACGTACCACCATAATTTGGCTTGTCCAAATCAACCTGCAGGGTATAATTTGCACCATCAAATCTGTATTACATCCATTAAGATCCTTATATAGATTTCATTGGTTGTACGAAGGACTCGTAGCCTTTACTATTAGACTTCTAATGTTCATCTCTCATGGGGTATGCGACCAACGCTAACATACCCAACCGAGCTTCTGAATGACGTATGAGAGGTTCATTATTATTTGGGTATGTGCTGGTGACTTAGGGTAGTTCCAATCTTGCGGACAGCGACGGTCATGTGCAGCCATGAGACTGAGCAGATCATAAAGAGCCAATGACTCAATCGATCGGCCCCGAGTGACCATGCTTCGTGCTGACCTTGCGGTATCGGATAACCTCGTGACCTTCCTGGTCGTACGTTCTTTCAGCCACGATCTTATAGCCACCGATGGCGGGAAAGATCTTGGTCCAGAATCCCCAGTATACACCACCAAGAAGAAGCACACCGACGCCAACAATGGGGAAGACGTAGTACGGGTAGCCTTCTGCGGTCCAAGATCCCGTGGGCGGGATGAAGGGAACGATGCAGAGGAACACGTTGGCCAAAACGTACAGGACAGTGATAGGGAAGTAGGTGTGCCAAGGTGATGTCCAGTTCTCTCTCTTGTTCCATTGGAGGTAAAGGAGGCCACTAGTTGTAACGTCAGCTGGTGTCCAGAAAAGTGAGGTAGGTATTTCAAGTCAACTTACATTCCAACAAATGCGTTGATCCATGCGCCGGGGTATCTGTATGTGTGTCAGCAAGTAGTCGTTTATCACTTTAAGGGAGAAGACGCACGTGTAAAGATCTGTGATGAAGTTGTAAGCAGGTCCTGCGGGAGGCGCGACGAGAACAATGACAGTAACGATCCAGTGGAGGAAAAGCTAGAAGAACATTAGCTGGAGAAGATGGGTTACAGATTTGAGGCACGTACGGCTGCGGCCGGGGCATTGAACGGCTTGTTGGATGCCCAGAATGTGCTGAATGGCAGGAGGCCTTCCTTTGCCAACTCTTGGTTAAGGCGAGCATGTGCGAAGCTGACAGCAAGCACATTTCCCAAGTTGCTGATGGCGACAAACGCTGGAAGAGCTTTTGCACCGGCACTGTTGCCAAAGACGTTGCGGAAGAAGACACCTGCGACGATAACTTCCGAGGTGGCGAGCTCGGTTTTGGGGATGGCGGCAAAGTACGCAACTACAATTGGTGGTTAGTTGACCAGTGAACAAGACCCAGGCTGTGACTGTTAAAGTCATTGAGCTCACCATTGGCAAGGACGTAGAGAATCGTCACACCGCCGATGGCTAGGGGTGCAGCGATAGCCAGAGTCTTGCGCGGGTTCTTCAGCTCGCCCACAACATAATTGGCGTTCTCCCAGCCCTTGTAACTGTAGATGATGCGAAGAAGTGCAGTCGCGTATCCATACACACCACCGTTGCCGTAGCCTTCTCCCTCTTCGATGCGGAAAGCGTTGTCAAAGTTGTGGGGGTTCGGCACGCGACGTCGACCGGCTAGCGCAGCAAACCCGGAAAAGACAATGAAGAGCAAGACGATGACCTTGAACACGCCAAGGACATTGAATAGCCGGATACCCCATTTGGGTGTAATGGCGTGGATGCCGACGGCGAACGTGGCGCCGGCGATACCGATGCCGCGAGCGGTCCAACCATCCGGTGACTCGGATCCCGATGCGAAAAGGATGTATCGGCCGAAGGCGAGGGAGTTTCCGGACGAGAAGCCAAGGAGAATCATCTGCGAGGCGAGAACGCATGTCGCGAGGTATTCGGGGTGCTTGTAAGCACGCTCGAGGTAATTCTTCTCGCCGCCGGATCGGGGGATGGCGAGGCCGAATTCGAGGAAGACGCTCATACCGCAGAAGGTCAGGATGCCGCCAATGACCCATAGCATGAGGGCGACGCCGACGGAGCCGGTCGATTGGAAGATACCGGAGGGAGTTGAGAAGACTGGGAAATGGGATAAGAGTCTGGCACACGTCGTGATGGACCGTTTGTTACTTACTACCGGTCCCGATCATCTTGTTGAGGATGAGGAAGACAGCTCCCGTGACACCAATCTTACGCGACTCATCGAAGGCGTAAACTTCCTGCTGTTTCACCACGCCTACTTCTTCCGCCGAATCGTCGTCCCGCACCACGTGTCTGTCCTCCCCAACATGGTGATCGTATTTGAGTGGTGAACTCATAGCTTGCTATCGGCGTGAGAAGCAAGAATCGGCCGAGCTCGAGTTCCTGTGATGTACACGGCGTTCACGTGCTAGAAAGCACTACCGGGAGAGTTCCAACGAGAGAATGTGTAGAGCTCGAAGCTAACACAGGCAGATCGGCAGGCGGGTGGTTCTTAGAGAGGCCCACGGCAGCTATATATGTGTCCCTGCCTTGCAGATAGCGTTGCTGCGTCGCAACCCAAGACAAACGGTGAAAGTGATCATCCCAGGCCTTGCTGCTGAGAGATCCCCGCATGTCATGGCACTGTAACGTCACGCAAGGTTCGACCTGCGAACCGACTCGATGCCTGGTACCACGAGGGCGGCACGGCGGGATACCAAGGGGTGAGCGGGCGAGGAAAAGAGCACTTGAGATGGGTGAGAGCGACCTATTGAGATTCGAATAGTGATGAACCTTGGAGGGTCACTGTAGCTCTGACGAACTAGATGTCGCGGAAACCACAAAATAACCTCATGAACCAACACCCGCTGCTCCACTCCAACCAGCCAAATCTTAAAAACTTTGCGTGCTTCCAGAAAGAATCGAGCATGGGTGTGATGTCGGGGGTATGTACCGCCGTGGCTGACACTCATACGAGGTGACGGGCGCGATTATAGCTTCTCAAACTGCCCGAGTTGCCTCTTGAGGCTGAATCGTCATAAATGCCGGCAAGCTCGCGAGGATTGCTTCAACCAGTTATCAGTGCTGTTCTACGCTTTGAGAATGCGTATTTGCCTTGGAGTGGTCAGGTTAAGTGAGATGAGCATCGCCGCCAAGAGGGCGTCAGCAGGCTGGGCTGTCTGGGCAGCGGCGAAGACAACCAGAGGGTTAGTGACTTTAGTTCAAAGGCCTTCCAGTTACGGAAGGTCGTTTGGGGCCTTTGAACACGGCCCATATGGAGTCGCTTGGCGGTCCGTTGAAGTTGGCTGAGAGCCCGGGGACCCCAACTAAGACAACAGTGGAGTGAATCAAGGGGGGCGCGGGGGGCTGGTCGTTTGCCCTGCGGTGCGGCGTGGTTGCAGTGCCAAGTGAAGCGGTGATGAGAAAGAGGAAAGCTAAAGGAATTTCTTGATGTCGTGCTCGCTGGGGTGGGATGGCGACAGTTGTTGGACCGAGACGTGCGGACGGGCTGTCTTTTTGTTTCGTGCGCTAAAACCTCGAATACCCGCTGATGTGCAGCGTCTGCCCCAGCTGAGATCAACTCTAAATAAGTGTCTTGTCAACCGACTTGAGTATGTCACATCCGTGCTCTCTCTTGAGCTAATACCTTAGTTGTGAAGTCTTCTTTCGCAGTCTGGGGGATTTTTGTTAGCAGACTCCACTGCGTAAGTACTTAAGCAGTATGGCCGTACCGTAGTAGGTAAACTTCCGACACATCCTACTTACTTGTGTCAATCGACTCGAAGGTAACAACAGTAAGTAGTTGCCGAAACTCCTGATTTCAGACAACTAGACCCACATTGGACAACATCCACTAACATTTGATAATAGAAGTTAGACCGAAAAGCGCAAATATCTCCTGATTTCTCGCTCGAGGTGGTGGAATGTTTGTATCCTCAATTCTCCATTTGCAGATGCCTGTGAAGCCTTCATACCTATTGTACTTGACTGCAAAAGTGCTTGTTCATTTCGTCTTGTTCACAGTTCAGTGTCTAGTTGCCTCAGAAGCCTCGCTCAACTAAATAATCCGCACCAGGTGTCGACCTTCTTCGTATTTAACGCATGGCATGGTCCTCTCTTCTGCATTGCGGGCGAACAAGCTCTCCCTCAACTCCTTGCCCCAACCGCGGGCGATCCCAATGCGCCGAAAGATGCCCTCTTTCCTATCTTGAAGCTGCAACAACAAGACGCAGATACTCCCATCATTGCCGGTCTATTCCTAGCTGGCACACAGAACAGTTCCGGCCGATGATTCTGAATGCTAGCCCACTGCTGGCTGTCATCAAAATAGACATGGGGCTGATACTCCATCATAGCCGAGTCTGCGCGAACACTAACTGAAATTTCGTTGACGACCATCATCAAGGAATGACGACTGTTGCTATAATGGCTGAGTGAGGCATCGGGCAGGAGCTCGAGCTTCTTGAGGACTCCCCAGAGCCGTAGCCACCCGCCGCTGATCAGGCCCGTTGTATCGCTCGTAACGTAGTCAAGATGTAGATCCTGCACCTCGATCAACATCTCTACCGCTTCGGGATCCATAATAGCTGGGGTGACCTGTCCATCTACCGCCGCCCAAGACCAACTTGGGGCCCGATAGGCTGACGGCCTAGCTTGTGCCTCGTTAGCAACAACAGCCCACATCAGTTCCCGCTCTAGATAGCGGCGCCACATCCCTGCAACGTAACGATCTTGAAGCAACTCCCTGACCATCTTCGCAACAGCTGAAAGGGCCACCAGCTTGTCACCAGGGAAGGTAAGTTTAGCTCTGGTGTAGGCATTCACAATGTTGCACCAGTATTGATACTTTGAGACTTCGCCGTGACCCCGAGGCTTCCAGCCGATCTGGTTGTTGCCAAAACCCTTGATCCGACTGGGAAATCTGGATAGGTCGATTAGCAAGCCTTCAGGATAAATCTCGGCATCCTCCTTCTGCTGGCACTCCCACATGATCTGACGTTGGCCAAAGTAAAGCACTCTTGGCGATAGCAGTCTTTCCTGAAGAACCCAGGCTCTAGTATTTATGACTGCATTGGAGACTTATATTCTCCAAAAGCCGTAATCTTGAACCAGAAACCGTGTATCCTTATAGTCGACGGGAAGGTCTATCGTCTGTGAACAAAAGGCATCCGGATTGCTACCATGGAAAAGAGAGTGATTTGCGTCTGGCGCATCGGTCGCTGATATGTTGACAAAGGACCCCGAGTATATCTTATTCATATCCGTTGACTCCTTTCTCCAGTCGGCGAACTTGTCGCCCCGTTGGATGATGCAGAGCGAGTCTATCCAAAGATATCGGACGCCCAGACGTCGAGTAGCCTCAACAGTATCCTGGTATAACTGGGGCAACGTATCGAGCGGTATATCTTGAAGCAGTCGAGTGTAGTTGTCTGTCGTCAGATTGAAGGATTCAGCAACGCCCCAACAATGACTTAGTGTTGCATAGGAACCTTTGATAGGCGTGATGTTCGGGAGGATGAGTCGACAACGAGAGCTTTTCTCCTCCAGCGGTCCGGTATCAAGGAGACGAGTAGGGTACCACTGTGCTGTCGCGGATAAGTGCGGTTTGGCACCACAGTTTGAGTGTTCAGCTAAGCATTCCGAAATCCATCTCTGCGCAACAAGGAAAGTATCGTCGGACCTAGTGCTACAGGAATAGGATCTGACTTTGTACTGGCATGCGTAGACTTTGTGAATTCTATTAGCAGGCATATCCTCGACATTTTAGCCGGCCTCGTTATCAAGTAGACGTACATTCTTGCGGAAGAAGAAGAATGTCAGCCCGCGCGAACCCTTTCGACGGACTTTTCTTGACTCGAGACGCCTTACTGTAGTCGAGAGCGACGTGTAGCATATAAGCGTAGGGATAAGCAAACTGTGCTCCGTTGGTTAAGTACCCGGGCGTGAGGGGTGGCTCGATTTCTTCTGTAGACTCTTGTTTCGTCGGTTCGGCGCTCAATTGCCTGATGTCTTGTCGCTCATCCATACCCAGAGTAGCCCAGAGTCGGTTGCAAATGTAACACCCGGCGTCCACAGAGGCGGTCAGACTCTTGCAATCGCGGTGATGTGGCTCTTCGGGGTCTTTCCAGCCTCATTTGCCAGTAATCAATCCGTAGTCTTGCTGTGTCCCAAGGACGAAACGACAACAAGCGCAAATCATCTTGAGCTTCTAAGACTTTGTAGCTCCCCAGGGTGGGATTCAATGGTTTTACACTCAATGAGGATGGCCAAGTAATGCAATCCACAAAGCCGTCGAGCTGTTTATCTAATGTGTGAAAGTTTAGACGGCGAGTGCTTCAGTTCTAATTTTCTATTTACGGGTGGGTTCCCTCCTACGTGGCCAAGTTGCTTTGCTTCTGCCTTGCGATCAAGTGACCTCCCGCGCTAAAGCTGGGAGCGACGCGCAGAGAACCTTGAGCGAATCAAACTGCTGACATGGCATTTTAGCAATGCAGGAGGAACAGGTAGGCATTTGGTGGATTTGTCTTGTTCTATTTTTTTCGGAGGAAGAGAACCCCCGTGCTTGAATACTACGTTGACAGAGAATCCTGCGTCAGCCGTCGGAGAAGAGCTAGGAATCCCACAGGCGCTAAACGATGCCGGAACACGTTCAGCTAGAGCGTCTATCTGTCTTTAAGGTGGGAAGCCAGGTGCATATTCGATTCAGTACTTGTAATACAGCAAGTCTGTCGTTGTTGACATGACTTGTTGAATGGGAATATCGACCGCCAAGCCAAGGGTTGGTAGCGTATCGTTCAGAGATGCTGGCCGGGTGTCAGCTTCGCCAGAGGGCAGGTTCCTCTGTCCCGAAAAATCCAAAGCTCGGCTTGTTAGATCAGCCTGCTGCCAGAGCCACCAAAGTCTGTCAATTTGCACATGGTGCAGGAAGAATAAGGGATCTGTCTTGTCCGTGAGTCTTTAGGTGGCTCAATAACGTGGTTGGTGAAGCTTACCGTTTGGAGATGTCGAAGGGAACAAGTCTCCTCCTACAGCTGAGTGAATCGCACCGTGGGGCCCGTTTTCCAGCGCAGTCGCGAACGTTGAAAAGTTGCCAGAAGTCTCGATAATTCCCGAGATCTTTTCGGGTGAGTACAAGCCGCCTTCGTAAGGGCCGGCATCGACCCCGATGCCGTCGTTGAAACCGCGGTTCAGACAATGCGAGAGCGTTGTCGTTGTGTAGTACGAGACAGTAAAATTGGCGAAAGCGCCGTCAATTACGCACATGGTCAACGGGTTCGGTCGCGTCGGCGCCACCCAGCCGCCGTTCAGACCGTTTCCTCCAAACCCGGCGGTGGTGTCGTTGGAGAAGACGGGGCTCTTGGACATGTCCTCTGAGTCGAGGGTCCAGTCCCAGTAGGTCATCGGGCCTGTGTACTTGCACTCATCTCTCAATGCTGTCTCGTAGATATGTACGAAGTACCGATGCCAGGGGAGGAATTGAGCGACAAAGTGAACTGTGTTGTCTTGTTAGCATGGCTGCACAGATTGACACCCGGGATGAAAGTACTCACTTTCGTTGTTGAGCTGAGCGTGGACATAGGGAAAGTCATTGTAACGCGACGTCTCAAGACCGATCTTTGACGGCAAGCCATCCAAGCACTTTACTGCGCTGATGTAGCCTGCTTTTGCGGCACTTGACAGGGATCGCCACTCAACTCTCAGCGGCGCGTCTTGGACCGGCAGAGCGACGGTCTCGCTGATAAGCGCGGCCAGCAACGCGAGGCATCCGGCGCTATTGGCGAAACCGTTCATTATGACGAGGTGCTTGAGAACTGGTCTGGAGTACGGCGTAAAGAGTTGCCAACAATCGTGTTGCGGTAGTCAACCTACAAGTATCTAAATAACATGTTCATGTTCTCGTATTGCTCGGTTTAACCCCTCTTAGCGCATGCTGCAATTTCGGTACCGCCTTCGTATAAGGGGGGCACCAAGCTAAAATTGCGGCTTCGCGGATGATCCCTCCTCCACTCGCCCGTCCGGCGTCACCCCCAAGAATACACGATATTTTTCAGATCTCTCAGATGATGCTATATATGGAGGACATATACGGATAGAACCTTCATCGAGTTGGAGTTCAAATACCTTTTGAACAGTGTCTCAACCCAGCAGCCCATGAACATTGCAGCGGATGTGTCTCCCACCATACTGATCGGGTTTCCTTCCTGGTATCTAATTAGAGATGGTCTCATCCTGGGAAATTTCGTGTCAACTTGCACAATCGCTGCAAAGATTTAGTTCCACAAAAGAACCCATGCCGAAATTCCCGAGACCATCGCTCTCAGGCGAGAGTTTCCTCCGGGAACGCCGTGCGCTCCACTCCGGCTCGGGCTCGGGGACTCGGGCATCAGTCGAGTTCTCCGGGTCCGATTACGCACCACACTAGACATCCTGAAGCGCAATCCAGGATTGTCAAGGTAGAAGTATCGATACTGCACCAACCGATTCGAACTTGTCGTAGGGTATATATGGCGTTAATTGCTGCCCGCAATTAACGGCGTCGTTTTTGCGACAGAACTGGATCATAATAGACTAAGTACTTCTGCATGGAGCAAAGAATCCAAATATCTTGATTATGGGTGCAAGGACATAAAGCTTGCTGAATCTCAGAAAACAACCCCTTGTGATCTCCCTTGCGGATGGAAAGCTGTAAACCCAAAAATCAAACAGTCAGCATGGCTGAGCTGCGTCGCATCATCAACACATCGTCATCAGCCGAGGTTCTAGCCGCGCTGCCTGGCCTGTTACCTAAGTGTCCAAGGCCAGCGCTCCTACAGCCGCAATACCTCCCAGGGTCCTATGACCCTATAGTTACACAGACGAAGGAAGTAGCAGCTAGGATCTTCCAGGCCTGGCTCAAGACTGTGCCAGGTCAGCATACAGTCGTATACTCAGACGGCTCCAAAGCTCCTGACGGAGCTACAGGGTACGGCTTTGTTATCTACCGCAACAATAAACGTATAGCCCAGGGCTGCGGCCGCCTCGGCTTAGCAGAAGTGTTTGATGGTGAGGCGGAGGGGGCGAGGGCTGGGCTCCGACGGGCCCTTCAGACCTCCCAAGGCCAGCCTATACACATCTGCATCGACAATACCAGCGTTATTCAGGGGATTCGCGGTAAGATCCCAGACTCCTCACAAGCGGCCTTCCTTGAGATCCAGGAGGTAGCTAGGATACACGATATACAAACCCATTGGTCTCCTGGGCACCAAGGTATTAAAGGAAACGAAGAAGCAGACAGCCTAGCTGAGGAGGGAACAACTCTACCAGTCCTTAGGGGCCAACTAGCTACTCTATCAGGTATCAAGTGGCTTGCTAAAGAGCGGCCAAGACGCCAATATAGACGATGGTGGAAACAAGAGGCAACTCCCCGCTATACCCAACTAGGGCTCAAGGCTACCCTTGCTTGCCCTCCTGAACTTGGCCTCCCTAGGGCTGCCCTTCATCACCTCCTCGCGGCACGGTCAGGCCACGGGGACTTTGAACAATATCACCAACGCTTTAACCACACAGAAGCACTACTCACCTGCTCCTGTGGATGGGTTAAGGAGGCAGACCATCTAGTCTACTGCCGAAAGACCCTACTGAGGAGGCAACAGTGGCCCACCCTCTACCCCTACAGCCGCCAGGAGCCCGTAGGACCTATAGGGTCCCTCGATCGCTACTTCAAGGGGCTAATCACTGACTCTGAAGGCTTCCAGGCCTTCCTCTGCGTGACAGACTTCTTCCAGAAGATCTGCCCGCGGTACTAGGAGATAGGTCATAACCTATCCTCCAAACGACAAACTACCTCTATTAAGAAACCAGATGGTTATAACGGAACTAGGGCACCAGTGGGAACTAGGGATGGATAGAACACATAGTAGCTCACGAGCAAGATTTGGAGGACGTCAGGATACGGCGTGTACTATATAATATATAGCTAGAGCCTGCGACCCTTCACGCCACATACCCTCCGGGAGGTCTGCCGCAAGGGCGGCTGCGCCCTTGCCGCCATGGCGTTAAATAGAACAACAACAACAACAACATAGCCGCGCTGCGAGATTGAGAGTCTCGTCGACATTCCAGTTCGCATTCCAAAGTATTTTCAAGAGTTTTTTTTGCTTTTCCTTCACCCGGAACTACCGAGTTAGCCATACTCTGCGCCAGGGTGGACTGGGAGAGGGATTCCGTTACGCCATCAGCACCGCCCATGGACGAACATGCCCGGCTCCGCGGTCGCGATGGGATGCAGAGTATTCTCGTCGGCCTCAAGTCTCGAAGGGCCGGGGGCGTCGTCTCCTGCATTCGCGTTACTCAAGGAGTGGCAATTTGGCTTGAGGACGAGACGCGGGCCTTCCATGGATGGGTAGCGCTCCCTGATGTCGTCAAAAATGTCCCAGTGATGTGTGAAGTATGTCACCCTAGGAGTTTGCTGGTCATCATCGTACACGTCCCGACCCCATATCTGCCCCAGGAGTTTTCCTGTCTTGAACTGCACTATGGCCGCACCAGAGTCACCACACACACCAGGGCCCTGGGAATTCCACTCTTCGGACGTCAATGCACCTTTGATGTTTTCCAAATACCATTCCCTGGTGGGCATATTTGGGTACTGGCGGACGTCGGCAGGTGTTTCGCATACCATAGCATACCGGAGCCCACTGCTTCGGCCAGTTGTCTGGACGATTTGCAATTGAGGGTGTTGCTCAAATACTCCTTGAATTGGGTCCGAGAAATCATCGACCTCTATGCCCGGCGGCGCATATCGCAGACAATTCTGAGCTTCGTCTTTGTAGGCTTTGCAGAAAGCCCAATCTGTGACTAATTCTCCTGGCGTACCTGGCGCGTAATACTCCAGAGATCTCGATGGGCGAGTTGTTCTGTACATCCTTCCTGAGTAGGCTTGCAACTTCCCGATCAGCAAAGGGCTCTCGTTCTCGCGACAGTCTATATATGCTGGGTGGAACAGACTGTGACGAGGGACTTCGGATGGATTGTCAAGATTCTCCCAATTTGATATGCCATGGAACAGGTGCCAGTTAACAATCCAGCCATCGAATCCACCGAGATTGATCGCTGGACCCAGGGTTACGGCACAGTCGCTCTGTTCAAAGCTGACAGAGTCCCCAAGCATTCTCTCATTGTGCCTGCCAGAGGTTCGAGGCCTCTTTGACTCATCGTGTTCGTCCTGTCTCGAAGCCACTGTGCCTGCAGCATGTTTGACATGGCCTCGAAGAAATTTGACCTCGACTCGGAGCTCCTGGGAATCTGGAAAGCACGACGAGACATGGCTCCGCATCTTGTCACTGACTTCTTTGGGAAGCTCCTCGGATGTCGTAACCACCACAATCCTGGTCCTGCTTTCGTTGTCACGGTTAACCGCGATGCTGTAGTTGCGATCATGGCCGTTATCTTTAAGAAAATCTTGCAATTGCTGCCGTACTTCCGAATAAATCTCTAGGAAGGCATCCGATGCTTGCTGCCATCTATCGACACCCGCGAAAAGCGCCTTCATATCCATAGAGTCTTTCTCCATAGCGCGAACAGACCTTGACGCTTCCAGGTTCGGGGCAACGGATCTTGTTATTACCCCTTCGGATCGAGGAGGCACAACCTCTTGGCGGCTCTCTTCCGTGATATACCTGGGGAAGGTGGGCGATAGATCTGGCACAGAGTTCCGCTTTTCCGGCTGCCGTGAAAGTGGTGACGAGCTAGACATTCCGATGTCCGAATGCCGACGGTGGAAGAGAAATCTGATCTTTTAAAGAGGATGACTACGATTGGATGCCACGTAGAATTAATAGGTCGATGTTCTACCATATTCTAGTTTGGCCATGGGTGTCAGGCATCAGCTCCTTGGATGGCTGCCCCGTGCCGAGAAAGGTCCGGATCGTGTCCTTTGCAGTCTTTGCGTTCAATGAACAGTGATTCACTGCTTCGACTTGCAACGACTAAGCAGATGCCCTGAATAGGCGGGAAAATATTTGACCAATCGTAAAATTCCTATTCATTTGTTTCCAGCCTCGAGGACTAGTCTTGCCAAACAGCAAAATAATTTCACTTGAGGTAGACGCGACCAGGTCCAGCCCCCTCGAAATCGTCGAATATTTCCACAACAACCCGTTCAATCCATCCATCGAAGATTCAGAGACTCAAATCATCAAAATGAAAACCAGAAGAGTCCTTTTCACGGTCTTCGTCGTCACTGCAGTTGCGCAGCAGGCCAATCTTGGCTACGAGCGACTTGGGGAGCGTCGCGATGTTCTCCCGCCCATCCCTGGAATGGATTTCGTAAGTTGGACGCATGCACCGTTCAAAAACTTTCCCTAACGAGCCAAGATGACCATCCTTTTCCACGACACTATTAGCATCATCAACGAGATCGGTCACTGGCTGGTGGCCAACGTCACCATCTCGGAGTGAATGGGGCCCGAATAGGCTGGGGATGGCGAGAGCCGAAGGAGTGAAGGAGGAGATTCAGCGGAAGTAGGGAATAAGGACAAAAAGCTAGAAGCAAAAATCAAACCCTTACTTGAGTACAAGGCTCGTTTCCGTGGAAAAGAAAAATGCGGTCTGTGGCAGGTTCCTCGCTCACCGGGCTGCACCTATTCTGGCCACCGCCCGCGTTGTATCTCTTGCTTCGTGCGATCAATGATGTGGGCACTTGAGTGAGATAAGAAAGTAGACATTTATTTATAGCTCTAACCACAGCTTGTAATGTATAACCCTTGTATCCAAAACTCTAATTTCACCGTCACCAGTACGAGAAGAAGAATATCTCAGTGTCGAGATTATCCTGATTTGCCTAAGCCTCAACTTCCTCCTCGACCCCAGCCTCCTCAGCATTCTCAACATTCTCGACCGCGCGAGGACCGTTCTTTGAATTCTTGGAAGCCTTGGAGTTCTTAGAATCTTTGGAGGCTTGCGAGTGGTACGAGGCAAGCGAGTCCTTGCAATTCTGTCCACAGTTTCCAGCGCTCAGCTTCTTGTGGTTGTCGTCGTGCTTCTTGACATCAGCGGGGGTGTTGGCGCCCCTGGCCTCTCTGGTCTCGATGTTGGTCTCAATGTCGAGAGCCTCAACTGGGGTACCGTCCTGGAGTCCTTCTCCAGCAAGAGCGGTCAGGTCGTGGGGCTGGGCGACAGGCATGGCAGTGACGACGCCGGTGGCGGTCAAGGTGGCAAGGAAGAGAGTGCTGAAGAAGCGCATTTTGGCGGTTTAACGGTTTGAATATGAAGAAGATTGAAGTGGTGTTTGTGGTAGAGGAACCGAGAGAGTGTTGAGGCTGGCTGGAGAAGCTGAAGTCTGATACTAGAGATGACAGTCAAGTGAGCTGATGAAGGAAAGAGAGAGCCATTGAAGAAGGTAATGGCTTCAACCTTTTATATCTGGAAGTCAGCCATAGTTCATCCCGCAGTTATACCTGGCCTCTAAAGACTGAGGCGAGGAATAGCCCACGATTTGCCGACTCATGAGGGTTCCCATGCTACGTCCTCAGTCGGACGATACCCCCACTCCTCGATCAACAGCCTCGCACAAAGCAAACAAACAGACAGCCATCATTAGATGGCGCGGTTATTGACTTAAGCTTTGGGGCTGTTAGTCTACCCATTTGTGTTGTGACTAGTTGTTAAGGTTAAAATAGTGTTGTGGTAAGGTCCAGAGCCAAGTTCCATAGAACAAACCGGTTTTCGTGAAACGAAGAACTCCAAGCATTAACATGGACAGTCTACTCGAAAAGACCACTTACATTCGGCGTGAGTCAGTAGAATGAGGAGCACTCTCGGCACGCCGAGTCGATGACTCGTGTTTCTTTCCCGCTTGTGCGAGTGATCGCTCGGCTGATCTCAAACCCCCTCAGTTGATAAGTGTCCGGACGAGGGGTCACCTTGCATGCGCGCTTTGTCGTGGTACCCAACAACCTTTCGGTACCACCTTAATCTGCGCCTCATGTCATCTTTGGGATAGAACTCGCCGGATAGTTCTGCCCAGCTTGTGCACAAGTCTACATTGGAGAATCTCGGTCTCGCCTCATCGGTCCAATCGTTCTGTAATTGCGAGGTCTGACCGAAAGGAGGAATTACTTCATAGCGCTGTGACCAGTCCACTGTCCGTTGGCATCCTTCTCTCCGGCTACGGTAGGGCCCCTACGCCCGCCATCTGGGTCGATGAGAAGCACTTCCGAAACTTGCTCTTATGAGAGCATCTTGTTGACGGGGTGCCAGTGTCATCTCTTCCCAGTTATGGCGCTTGAGATGCCAAGTTGAGAGCCAGGAGTCCATGATCTGTGAGCTCCCTGCCGATCTACGGCCCCGATACACCGACAGCGTGCCAACATGAGTCCGAATACCCCTCCTCTCCTTGAATCCCATCCTAAGCTATAATACGAATCCGATATATTGCAGCTGGTTTTACGGTATGAAGTTGTCAAAGTCGTGGAGGTAGTTGAACAAGCATCAGGTTTACTTCAATGGCTGCAAGGTACGAACTTTACTCAACGAGAGTTTTTAGCCTCAACCAGTTCTATGGGATCGGCACACCGCAACAGAGGCATTAAGGTACATGCAGGTCGTCGCACCATCTGTCTTGTCTGCCAACTTAAGGTCAGAGTTCAAGGGACTGGACAAGCTTGAATTCTTCGTGCTATTCAGACGGCCGCACCATTGAACTCTACAACCTGCGCCCCAAATGGTCCGAAGGACACAAGGCTCAAGTTGGCCTAGCACAGAAGAGACCGTATTAAAATCCCAGCTATTGGCACCATAGTCCAATACTTTGGATTCTGTCCGAGTACGAATGACAACAAAGTGATGTCGCCAGGAAACATGGTAGGCCAAGAAGCCCAGAGGCCCATAGGTGAACCATTGCTAGAAAAAAACTCCGCTTACTCCTCACAAACAAGAGAGGGAGCGCACGGCATGCATTACGCCAAGTCCATGACGGGCGCACAATCAATCCCATCATTACGCGTTGTGCAATGCCATGAAACACGACAAGGAGCGAGACCGAGCAAATTTGCGAGGCAGAACGACAGTCTTGGCGAGCAAACAGGTCGTAAATACCGAGAGACGGGCAGTATGATCGCTGGATAGACGGCCAGCAGCTGGGAACACCTTGTCGCGTCCGGCTTCGAGCGGGCAACTGTTTCTCGAGGAGCACAGATGACACTAGAAACTTTGAACCTAAGATGTGCTTCGAGGTGCCGAGTCGAGTGGGAGCCGCGGTGGGCGATAGACGCACGGAGATTTTTCTTGCCGGCTTTAGTAGGGCGTACGCGTGGCCGAGCTCTGCAAGATGGGTGCCGAGCTTTGATGCCTCGGGGTTTATTAGTCGACGAGCCCGAGTAGAATGTGTCGAGAACACACATTGTGGCCGGCGATGTTTCACGGAGGCCTTGATTCAACTTTGAAATCTTGACCGGAGGTTTCCTTTCTTGAATCGAAGAAGTGACCATGGTCAAGTGTTGGTCCGGAGTTCTCCCTCGATTCAACGAAGCATAGCGAGGATGTGGGACTGTGGATACCTGAGGCAGTGGCTTGTGCCCCAGGCACCAGCTGCCCGATCCACTTCCTGGTTGATCCAGCCCACCGCAGCCACCTTCACCACAACATCACCAACCAACCGTCAATACCAGTCGTATTGCCTCATTACTTGCCTCGTTGGTCTAGATGAGCAGTGTGTACTGCCCATAGGTTATGAGAGCCTATTTTGACTTTTTCCCCAGCTATTGAAGCTATTTAATTATTCTGTTGGATTTGCCTGTTTGTTACGCTCGCCGCAACTTGTCACTGTGGGCGCGTAGCTATAATGCAGAACAAGGGAAAATGATGCGGAGTCATCATTATGGAAGCTTTTGCTTTGTGCCACAGTTGGTTGCCTTGACCTGCTCGTAACACCGTCCTAGAGGGCGGTCAGGGCCGCGGCATTGGCTTCGGCTACCTTCTCAATCGCAAGGACTTTTTCAGTGAGCTTGCCCAATACGTACTCGGCGGTCTCTTCCGCGTAAGTCAACCTACCCACTTTTCGCCATCCCCCCTTTTCGCCACCCCAATCAACATGGTCTCATAACATCACCACCAACTTCCAGTCAATTAATTAACTACCTTCCACTGCCACTACAATACAGTCACTGCCCTCACTAGGTAATTCGATCCTTGCGAGTCGACTGGGACTAACGAGATGGTCGCCTGCGTCCTCCTGAGCTCTCTTTATATCCCTGATGTTCGCGAACTTGGTATTGGGATCTGTTTGGACGGTTCTCTTCCTCCTTGGAGCTATGCGGTCAATTCGGGCCTGGAGCTGACGATTTCTATACTCTGATGTGGCCAATAGGCAGTCCTTCTCGCCAAAGCTCTTTTTTATCTTTCTGAATAGTAGTCGTCGATTGTTGTGGTCTGGACTGAGCTCTGTGAATAACCTCTGTTGGAACAGCAAAGGCTGATAAGGAGTAATAGGCAGGTACCATGGGCTGGCTGGCACCTGCCCTGGGCGAAGTGGGACAACTGGCTTAGTCATCACGGCCGGATAAAGGTGGGGCAACCACCCAGGCCGTCACTACCTACTTCGACCGACTCCTGCCTACAATGTAAGATAGAACAACAAGAAGAACAAGCAATAGGATCACCAACAGACGAGTGATAATTGCTACCACTATTTGTCGTATACGACCCCGTGAACCAACAACCTCAAGTGCTAGCTAAGCTCACTGGCCTGCCTAGGAGTTGACCAGTTAACAACAGACGTCGCTGATACCTAGTCAACGGGTTCCATGGGCTTGCCAGTCACTGCCTGCCCCTCTGCAGTGTTATTTAATGGAGTGGCAGGGCTGGGGAGCATCAGTGGGCTCAGCAGAGGGTGGCTTTGGGAACACATGCGTCACCCTACGGAACGGAAGAACTATGGAGCAAGTCACGTGATGATAAGATAAGGAAAGCTGTATGCCAAGAATACGGAGTCCGTCCCTTTGAGGTACGGAGGAACATTGAACACATACCTCGAAAGGTACCCACTGTTAGTAACTGTTAAGGTTATAGAGGGCTACGGCCCACTGCACTATCATCTCTCAACATCAGCCCATATCCCATAGACTGCTGCAAGACGCCATGCGGGGTACGGCCAATAAGGGCTTGTGGTTTCATATACTCTATCCAATGATAAGCTAGGATTTCCGGTACTTCTATTCTCTAGTTATCTTGGTTATGCCAGAGGTACCAGCAATCTCTGTTGATACAAAGCGGTACATTGCAGTCTAAGCAGCCCTTTCTTGTGTATCTAGGCCGTGGCTGCGCAAGGCTATTTCCAGATATCTCGGATAAGGCAGTTCGGCGAGATAATGCGCCTTTACTGCTGCAATAAGAGCACCGCGAATTAACCTTTCTCGATCCCTTTGTATGGTGTTGCCAAGGAATAGAGGTATTCCTTTTATCTTTAGCTTGCCCAGGCCGAGGTCTAGCAGGAAGTCCCAAGCAATTGCCTGCCAGCCCCCTCGCCGGATAGGGTGGCCCCATTGATAATAGGATCTCATCTGGTCACTAACATCAACGCCGTTCATCTTATGGTTATCCCATCGAGTGCTGCAAGGCGACAGTACATTGAGATGCGGGGGAGCAGCCAATCGGGCCACTTCGGGCCCCTTTTTCCAACCAACCAACGTAATTGATAATAGATACTTCCAATTACTAGAGATTCTGCGTATGAAATCGGTACCAGCAATCTTCTGAGTTACAGAGAGCTACATCGCACTCGAGGCAGCCCATCCTCGTGTACTTCCCAGGGATACCGGGCTCAACCTCCGGAGGCTCGCGGGGCCGAACAGTGGCATTATCACATTGCTCCGGCGTACAGTCGGCAGTGCAGGCGGCGGCGAGGTCCTCGGGCAGCAGGGCAAAGATACACGACTTCGCCGAGCCCGTGGAACGGCCAGATCCGTCAGAATCGTCAGAATCCATTAATTGAGTATTGGTAATGATGGATTTGGTAGATGTACCGGAGTGGAAATCATAGGGGCAACTCAAGCAGTGGATGTACCAGATGCGGTGCGGGGTAAAAGGGGGCCCGTTATGTGGAGCCAATGTACTGTCGCCTTGCAGCACTCGATGGGATACTCGTCTATTGGTGCCGGCACTGGCAGGTTCTTCCGGACGTCGGCGCCGAAGACTTTCCGGGCAGCCCGCTTTACAGCAGTATCTCCGGTTGGCCGGCGCCGGCTCCGAATAATATCCTGGCCTTCCCGGAAGACTGTTGTCAAGAAGAGTACAATAGCATTATCTTTCCAGGTGAACTGGTTAACCTAGAAGAACTGATTAGTATAGAGATATCCTTAGATGGTAGTCTATAACACTATACCTCCCCATCTAAAGTAGGGATATAATGTATCTTGCCCCAAGGGATATCCTGTCCTTCAGTTGCTTTCTCGGCAATATGGATCTTATCTATGCCGCTATCTTTCCGGCAGGTGCCAGAAGCTCCGACTTGCTGCTTCCGGAGAGCCCGGAAGAGCCGGACAGAAGAAAAGAGGTTATCTAAAAAGACGTGGTAGATTGCAGCCGGAAGTAGGGCAACTAGGGTCGTTACAACCCGTTGCGTCGGCGTTAAAAGGGCCTGCTTTGCCGCCTCGTCATCCGGCGCTGGCCGGGCCTGTGGGACTAGCCCGTACGGGCCCTTTCCGTGGATATGCCAGAGCCACCGGAGACAGTAGCCTGATTGGGCAAGAATCCATATCTTGAAGCCGGTCGGGATCGGCTTAGTCGGGATTGTTGTTGTCTCAAGGGACCGGCCTGTGAATCGGACCATAGCCTCGTCAACGGTAAGGTCAGAGCCGGCCGTATAGAAGGAGTCCCCGGTATCCTGGATATGGGCCGACCACCCGTTAACCTTCCGATACGTATCCGGTATTGAATTATCCTGGGGCCGGCGTCGGCACCGGCCATGGCTAGACTGACTAGGGAACTCAGAAGTATCGAATATCCGCAGCTGCCGGGATAGTCTTTGGTAACGGTCACGGGATATAAACCGGGTAAATAGATGAATAGGGTCCTCTTTCTCTTGCTGAGTTGCCCAGTATCTTGATAGTTCATACTCCTTATGGATCCCTATATAAATACGGATTCCTAAGAAGAGGTATACCTCTTCTATAGAGGTCTTTTTCCACTTATACACTCTTGAGTGTCTAGGCTGAGGGCCCTCCTTAGATATCGGCGCTGCATTTGTCCACCGGACCCACTGCTCAACAAGGCTCCGGGGAACGTATCGGAGGAAAAGGTTAATCGGCGTTTCCGGTAAGTCCCGTATTTGCCGGTCCCGGGCCGGTATATCAAAGGGTATAAAGGAGCCGGGCAAGCCAGGCTCAGCCGGAGGCTCATGGAGCCGGACTGTGCTATTATCGCACTTCTCCGGGGTGCAGTCGGCAGTACAGCCGACTTCAAGGTCTTCGGGAAGGAGCTTAACAAATATACAGCTCCGTATAGAGGTATCGGTAGTTACAGAGGCATCGGAAGCATCAGAATCACTAGAAGACATCGTAACATTGGTTGAAATGATGGTTTTGGTAGTGATAGTAGGTAAAAAAACATAGGGGTAAATGATGTTTCGCCTTGTACCGATTGAAGTGCGGGGTAAAAATGGGCGCTTTTGTGGACCACCCGTTTTTTGGCGTCTTGCAGCAGTCAATGGGATAAGCTGAATTCTACGACCATGGCGGTCTCCCTAGATGTAGGGCCATCGATCACGGTTCACGGGGACGCCGGTATATCTCGGCGGTCGGGACGAGTCCGGAAGCCGACTGCAAAGGTCAGAGTGGTTGAGTAGGTCAACCACTAGGATAATTCTGAGCTTAAAGACGAGATTAATAAGCTTTCGAATCTGGTCCAGGACCTCCTACGTCGGGACGCCGAGAGGGAATAGTTTTTGAAAGACTGTTTAACGAAGATCGAATCCTTGGAGAGAGAGCTTCAGGAGGAGAAATAGCGTTTAAACCGGCATTAACGTGGTTTAGTAAGGTCTATGTACGCTATTGGCACAGGGCCTAGCGAGACTGACCTGAGTTCCCAGGGGCATCCCTCGCACACAACCCAGAACTAGCCGCCCCTAGTCCGTTTATATGCGGCGGCGGCGAGCCAGCCACTGTCTAGAAGACAGGATGAACCAACGCTAGCCAAATAAGCCGCAAAACAAGCTATAAACCGGGCGGCCTTAAAGGATCTATATATCTTTGCGCGTTTATCGCCTGAAAGCCCGCTTCGGAACGAGAAAGCCTACGACATATATATCTTTGTTCGGGAAAGGCTAAGTCCCTAAGCCCGAGAAGCCCTCAAGGGGATCGACCATATCAAGATAGGATTAGCACTCCTACCTTCGTTAATAGATAGTGTAAAAGTCCTGCTAGAGAACAGAGAACAGATCGCTACCCTTCTCTAAGCGTAAGCGATCGAGTAATGCGA